CAAACCACTACCCCCAACACCCTCCTTTGTCTTTAGCCGAAGATGGTATTTAAAGTGGTGGCTTTGGCCATTTTGGCAAGTTTTCCTAGGTTTCTCCCATGTATACATGTTATTAAACTTTGTTTGATTTTTCTCCAGTTATTCATTCTCATGTCAATTTAATTCTTAGACAGCCAGAAGGACCTAGAGGGTAGAGGAATTGTCTTCCTCCCCTACACGTACCTCCAGCCTTTGCACATGGAATGCTGCTCTCCCTCCCTCACCTTCTCGTCCAGGACCCTCTGGAGTCCCAGGTTGGGGAGGGTCTCTCTCCACAGCCTCAACTTTTTCAGGAAGCTCCCTTGTCCAGCGCTCTGCAGCATGGAGGGGTGATCTGCTGCAGACCCATCTCCTTCACTGTCCTGGGAGCCTCTAAGGCACATAGGTTGCCTTTTGACTGTTGTCTTCCCAGCACCTACCACGTTCCTAGCAAGGAGCAGCTCCCTAGTGATCACTGAACGAATGCCCCTGCCAAAGCCGCTTTTATCTTCAGTGATTCAAGCACAGTTACAAGAGGTTGTTGCTGGTTTCCCTGCCCCAATTCTCACCACCCCATCCAGCCTGGTCATGGCCATTAGACAGTTCTGCCTAAATCACCTCTTTTTTTTTTTTTTTTTTTTTTTTGTGAGAAAGATCAGCCCTGAGCTAACATCCATGCTAATCCCCCTCTTTTTGCTGAGGAAGACCGGCTCTGAGCTAACATCTATTTCCATTGCCCATCCCCCTCCTTTTTTTTTTCCCCAAAGCCCCAGTAGATAGTTGTATGTCATAGTTGCACATCCTTCTAGTTGCTGTTTGTGGGACGCGGCCTCAGCATGGCCGGAGAAGCGGTGCGTCAGTGTGCGCCCGGGATCCGAACCCGGGCCGCCAGTAGCGGAGCGCGCGCACTTAACCGCTAAGCCATGGGGCCGGCCCCACATTGTCTTGAGTAGGGAACCAAGGTCAATGAGCTGGACCAGGGACAAACCCTCACCAAGGGAGAGGAACTTTAAGTACAAAATCGGGGCCGTCTCTCCAGTCTGACCAGTCTGACCTGTGGGTACATATTTTTCATGGTTCCCAGGTGAGAGAAGGCTGTAAGGAGGTACTGAAGAGCTGTTTCCCTACAAAGCTGTAAACTTTGGGTGCAGAGGCTGGCTTTGGGTGCAGTGACCCCAGCGTGGACCAGCTCAGGCTTCTCCCAGACCCCAGGGCCAGCAGCTGGACCAGGTGAGACCAGGCAGTGGCAGGCCCATAGCACAGGACCCAGGAGCTCATTGAATGTTGAATTGATGGGGGCTGGAGGCTCTGCTTCAGGCAGGGGGAGAGCAAGCAATCTGATTTCTGACAGTCTCTTTCTGGCAGGAGAGGCCCAAGGAGTCTTGGCGAAACGCACTTGAGAGTGCCAATTAGACGCTGAGGCTCCTGGTGTCCCCCCACACCCCACTTCTCTCCCTCCCTTCTTCACAGGCTCATTGCTATGGCCCAGGTCAAAGGCTTCCTCCTTTGGGGGGCCTTTCCTGGGCTCCCTGGTTGGGAGTAGCCTCTTTCTCTCCTCTCTCCTGTAATTCTACACCTGCATCTTGAAACAGCAGTAGGGCACTCAGCCCCCATTGCCTTGTGTTGTTCCCCTGTGTGGCTGTAGGCATAATGTCTTCACATCTTCCTGAGCATGCAGTGCCCTGGGCACAGCCAGGGGCTTAAAAATACTTCTTGACTAAATTGCAGTTCAGTGATTTTTCATGACCTTTAAATGAGTTCTGCACTGTACATCACAGGACACAATCAACAGAGTGAAAAGGTGACCTACAGAATGGGAGAAAGTATTACAACATATATCTGATGAGGTGTTAATATCAAGAATATATAGAGAACTCCTACAACTCAACATTAAAAAAACTAACAACGCATTTAAAAAAAATAGGTAAAGGACTTGAATAAACCTTTCTCCAAAGAAGGTATACAAATGGCCAATAAACACATGAAAGGATGCTCAACATCACTAATCATTAGGGAAATGCAAATCAAAACCACAATGAGATGCCACCTCACACCCAGTAGGATGGCTACTATTTAAATTAAAAAAAAAACAACAAAATCAGTGTTGGTGAGAATGCGGAGAAATTGGAACCTTGTGCACTGTTGGTGGGAATGTAAAATGTGTAGCTGCTGTGGAAAACAGTATGGCATTTCCTCAAAAATTAAAAATAGAATTATATGATCCAGCAATCCCACTTCTGGTTATGTATCCAAAAGAATTGAAAGCAGAGTCTCAAAGAGATATTTGTACACCCATGTTCATATCAGCATTATTCCCAATAGCCAAGGGGTGGAAGTAATTCAAGTGTCCAATGATGGATGAATGGATCAACAAAATGAGCTATATACATACAATGGAATATTATCCAGCCTTCAAAAGGAAGGAAATTCTGAACACATGCTACAACAGGAACATTATGCTAAGTGAAATAAGCCAGTCACAAAAAGACAAATACTGTATGAAGTACCTGAAGTTGCCAAATTCATAGAGAAAGAAAATAGAATGGTGGTTGACAGAGGCTGAGGCCAGGGGAGAGGGAAAAAGGGAGTTGTTATTTAATGGGTATAGAGTTTCAGTTTTGCAAGATGAAAGGAGTTCTAGAGATTGGTTGCACAGTGTGAATGTACTTAACACTACTGAACTGTGCAATTAAAAACAGCTAAGATGGTAAATTTTATGTTATGTATATTTTATCACAATTAAAAATGAAAAAAAGAGTTCTGACTGGACCCATTCAGATTATTCCCTAGGCAAGCGTGTCCTTAAGTAGCACTCCTGTGGATTTGGGATTTGTTACTTGGCCACAGAACACCTCAAGGAGAGGTACTCCTTACATTCCCAGAGAAATGACCTAGGCCCTCACTCCTCAGAGTGCAGTCAGTCCAAGGACCCCAGTCAGCCTCACCCAGGCTAATTAGAAACACAGAACCTCAGGCCCTACTCTAAACTTAAAGAATCAGAATCTGCATTTTAATTGGCTTCCAGGTGATTCATGCAAGTTAATGCCTGAAAAGTCTGGCCTACAGGAGATCCTTACTGGGAAGTAGGGCAATAAAAGGAGGGGTGAGGGGCACACACATTGTAGGCTTGCTGAGACGACCAATCCCACCACTATCCCAACTTAGAGATGGGGAAACTGAGGCCCTGAGAACCACAGTGGCTTGCACAAGAAAGGTTGCCGAACACACTTAACTGGTTAGGCTCTGGAGACTGACTTCCCAGGTGCTAGCTTGTCCATCTTCTGTGCGCCCTTGGTTAAGTTATTCTCTCTCTGCCTTCGCTTCCCCACCTCTAAGAGCTACCTCATAGATCAGCTTATTTAATTGTTGAAAAATTAGTACAGGTAAGAGCGTACGCGTGTCCAGTGCAGTGCCTGCTCTTATTGTTGCCAGAAGTCACCTTTTTACAGGAGGGAGTGCAGTGGAGAGAGTTCAAGATGGCATCAGTGCCCAAGATTCCCGCTTCAAGGATGATCAGAAGGTATGCTGAGGGGGGTAGGGTGTGCGGTGATGCTAATGAGCAAACACAGGCATTCATTCATTAATACATTCCTTCCTTCCAGAACCAGTATGAGTGCTCAGTACTCGGCGAGTAAGGTCCCGGGTATTGGCAGTGAGCGAGACGAGCTGAGGTGGTCTTTGGGCAAAGGCCACCGAGGCATGGAGTTGCCCGGGCTCCAGCTCTAGCGCTGCAGCCCCAGGAACCCGCGCCTTTGGCCAGGGCCACAAAGAGCTCCTCCCACGGTCTTTCTCAGTCCTGGTATTCAGGGGCTAGGCCAAGAGGGCAGGGCTGTGCACGGCCCTCCACGCCTCTCACAGTGGCCCACCGGGGCAGAACCCTCGGGGCGCTTTTTACACAGGCAGAGGCTGGGCGCAGGAGTCTGCCGCCCGCATCATCACGCATCCCAAGGCGTCTGCGGCCCACGCCCAGGGCGACTGCCCACCTGCTGCAGCGCAGGCAGTGAGCTTGTGGCGTGGGCGCCCTTCCCACCTCGTCCCACCGCGGTATGCCAGTGGGCCACTCCTGGACCCCCACCGGGCCCGCATCTGAGTCCCCTCCCCTTAGGCCCCCAGCCCGTTGCCCTCCTTCGCCGCAGGTTCCGCAGTAGAGCCCCACAACTTGATTTCACACGGAGCACCTTTCCTGGGACCCCAGTACTTGGTCCTCTTTCACTCCATCCCTGGAAGCTGGCCCCGCACTTCCCGCACGGGAGTTTGGCCTGTGCTCCATACATGAGGCTATGGTGCCCCGGGACCGAGCCGCTCTGCCTCTGGCACCAGGGATGCGGCCCGAGGGCGGAGCGGAGGAGGCGCTCTTGTCCCGAGCGACCCGTTTCGACGGTGCGCAGCCGCCGAGACCTTATTAACCAACCTCGTGGATCCCCAATATTTTTTCTCTTTCACCCTTTGATCAGCCGCATCCTCAGAAACGCCGAGCACACGCCCCACTGGGGAGCAGCAACCGGGGGAGTCTCCTTACAAACGCCCCGCCTGGCACACGAGGGTCCGGCCAGAGAGAGTGAGGGTCCCGGGCGCTGTGCGGGGCTTGGGCCCGGGAGAGTCGGGCGGGGAGGATCGCCAGGCTCCAAGATGCCGAGCAGGAAAACGCAGTTCGTTGCTTCTCCCACCAGCCTCTCCGAGGGACCAGAGATAAACGAGAACTTGTATTCCAGGTGTCTGGGGGCACCTCCGTGGGCTCCGTTGGGAAACTGTTCCGAGAGATAACAAAAACGGGCACTCCCTCCCCCCGCTCCGCCCCACCCCACCCCACCCCACCCCTGATGAAAGTGAAACTCCGTGAGTCAGCGCGCCCCGGCAAGCCTGGCGGGTCCCGAGAGGCACCGCCCTTCGGGCCGCGGACCCGGTGCCACAGGCGCGCGGGGAGGGGCGACCCGGCGCGGAGGAGGCGGAGCCGCGGCGGACCCGCCTGGGCATTTCCCGGGCCCGGGCGGCGCGGCTGGCAGGCCTGGGTCATGGCCGGCGGGACGGCGCAGCCGGGGGCCGAGCTGCTGGACTTCGCGCAGTTCCGGGAGTCGAGCGCGCGGCGGCTCGTCTATGGCTACGGCCGGCGCAGTCTGCGCGAACTGCGGGCGCGAGAATTCGGCCGCCTGGCAGGTGAGGCCGGCGGGGCTACCTGCGCGGGGCTGGCCAGGCGGCTGTGGGGAGCGCGCGGTTTCTGGAACCGACGTGGAAGGAGCTTTTGCTTCAGATGGGAGCGGCATTACCTCACTTGGGGCGCATTTTGAAGCGAAAGACCTGGAGGGATGTGTCCATGCGTTCGCTTCGTAGACGCGGCTCCCTGAGGTCCCAAGCCCCAAGACTTCTTGCTACTCTTGCTCCTTAGACTCTCCAGGGGTGCAGGACCAACCTAGTCCTTTTCCACTTGTCTCCGCCCTCCGCGAACCCGGCTTAGGATTCTTTTTGCCTCCGCTTGCCGCGGGACTCCCGACTCCAAAAGTCCAGCTGGAGCCAGGGTTGCAAAATGCAGGAAAGTCCACGGCGTGACTGTTCGGATGCTCCCCAGGGAAGAGAGCAGTGCGTGGGCGGCCAGCGCGCCGGGTTGGGAGTGTAACTCTGTGGGAGCGCGGGGTTGGGACCAAGGGGCCACAGCCGCGGAGCGGGAGCCTGCCGAGGCTGCGCTCCAGCAGACTGCGCTGGGATGGCTCCCAACAGCTTTTATTTTCGAAACCTCAGTTTTCTTACTCGTGCACTCAGGACAATGCCTCTAAACTCTAGCTCGCTGGGGCACTTGAAGAATTAGCAAGCGGTGCAATTTGAATTATAAGTACAGGGCGAGCCTGTATATTGGACGTGAGGACCGGGATCATATCGTGCCTTTGAGTTCCGCAAGGCGGAACAGGCGGGTTAAATTCGAAATCAAGCTCGATCTGGCCCTGTGGGCGTCCCCAGCCCATTGCTGCAGGGCGGGAGGGGGCCCGCACGGGGTCGGGACTCACCCTTTTGCCAGGGACCTTGTGTGGGGGGCTTCCTCGAGTCTTAGAACCGCTTGCCGGTAGAGCAGGGAGGGGCCGCAGGGTCAGTGGGCAGGTCTTGGCGCCGGGCACCGGGATTTGAGGTGTATTTATTCTGTCGTGAGGAACAATTGGTGACTACTCCCCTGCTTGAACAGCAACCATGACTTACGTTTCACTAATTAGGTAGCTGATTTCAGCTCTTTAGGTCATTTCCTCATGTTTTGGATAGTGACTGTTTTTTCCCTTTGGGGGCTTTAAGGGCTGTGACCTCCTCCGTGTGTGCCCCCGTGCTGTACTGAAGTAGGGAGGCCCAGGAGGGAGACAGGGGGCCTTCTAGCGGCCTCCCTGTACTTCCCATTTTTCACAGTCGCACATTCACCTGCTGGAAACAGCTCCTCCTGTCTCTGCTTCCACATTCTCTCTCTCTCTGAACTTTTTTATTATGGAAATTTCCTACCGACAGAAATAGAGAGACGGATACAGTGGACACGGCCATTCTTTTGAAGCAAATCCCAGAAGTTGTTATCATTCAGTAGGTAATTATTTCAGCACCACACCTCCTTAATCCGCTAATCCCCTCCAGCTCTGATCCCTCACACCGGGCATTGGCCCACCTCTCCCCTCCACCCCACTCTGGGAAAGTCAACGAATGTTCTGGGCCCCTCCTTGTTTCACTCTTGTCCCTCAGAGAACAGCACCTTTACTCTCAAGTGTGAAATTTGGATGTGATAGCCAGGATCCCAGGCTGGCCTTCAGAGCCGGTTTAACAGCTATTGTGTTTGTGGTAGTGTTGTGTGTGGCACCTATCTGTCTGTCTGTCTGTCTGTCTATTTAGTGCAAGTTCCCAGCATTTCCTCTATATTATGATTGAAGTAGACTCTTGTGGATGAAACGCACCCTTCCCACCGCTGGGAGTCGTGGAACATGTCCCCCCCTTTTTTTTCACAGAAACAAATGAACTGCAGAGAGGGCAGGGAAAAACAAACAGAACAAACCAAAATAACATAACCTTCACTTTCTCTTCCTCCCACCCCCCTCAACCCCCCTGTAGTTTTTCTGCAGATTTGAGAATTTGTCTGATTAAGTAGTTGTCTGGATAATTAAATGCTTAATCTTTAAGTGCTGAAATATTTTGCCTAACCAATTGCATGGGTATTTCCTTGTTTTGGTGAAGGGAGCATATTGATTACATAGGTGTATTTCAAGTGGTTCTTGAAGCCTCAGGGTGCCGATTGATGGCCACTCACCCTGCGTGGAACTGAGAACTGAAGGCATGTAAGCCAGAAGAGACCCTGGAATTTCCGTTCTTGAAGATCTAATGGCACCTGGTTTTGGAGTTGTTTGCCTGCTTCTTCTAATAATGGCCAGACCTTGTGAAGTGTTTACTGTGTGCCAGGCGCTGGGCTGGGCACTGTCATATACCAACTCATTTAACACTCATCTCACCTGCAGATGAAAGCGCAGGAATCCAGAGTGGTGGAGCAGGATTCCGTCTAGGTTTGTTGACTTGGATTCTGCACTGTTAACCACTATGCTGGCTGACCTCCTAAGATCAGATCTCTGCCTTGTTTTGCAAAATTAACTACTGGACCAAAGCCTGAAGCAGCCTTCTCCCAAATGGCTTGCTGGCTCGGCAGAAGACTGGGGACAAGGTGTGTGGTGCTCTTGGCAGCCCCTCAGGTCTCACATGTGCACTGGGGCTTCACACGAGCATCTCCCTGATGGCTGGGTAGACAAAAGCCTTTCTTTTTGTGTGGTATGTTGTATTTCTGAATTGTCAGTAAAGGAAAATGTTATTTTAAAATGAATTTTTTGGACTAGGTAATAAATTTACGTGGTACCAAATTCAAAAGGTGCCAAAGGAGGATGAAGAATGGCCAGGGAGCCCTCCTCTCCTCCAGCTACAGCCCTTGTGGCCACCCCGGCGTCAACTCCTGCCACTTGTGTCTTGTGTGTCTTTTCAGTGGTTGTCTATATTTATATGTGTGTGTACATGTTTATTTTTTTTACATAATTGAGCCATAACATTTCTCACCCCCGACATAGTTTATATTTATTTGTTTATGGTCTTCTTCTGTCACTATCATACCAGCTTCTATTTTGTCTGCTGTTGTGTCCCCAGCACTTAGAACAGTGCCTGGCACATAGTGAGTGCTCAGTAAATATTTCTTGAAGTAAAACCACTCAATAAACTAGGAATAAAAGGATATTTAATCAACCTGATAAACGCTATCTACAGAAAACCACAACTAACATCATACTTAATGGTGACAGACTGAAAGCTTTACCCCTACAATCAGGAATAAGACAAGGATGTCTGTTCTCACCCCTTCTAATCAGCATTGTACTAGAGGTTCTACCCAGGGCAATTAGGCAAGAAAATGAAATCAAAGGCACCTAGATTGGGAAGGAAGAAGTAAAACATCTCTACTTGCTGATAACATAATCTTGTATATAGAAAATCCTAAGGAATCCACACACAAAACTGTTAGAACTGAAAAACAAGTTTAGCAAAGTTGTAGGATGCAAGAGCAATATACAAACATCAATTCAATTTCTATATGCTAACAATGAACATTGTGAAAACGAAATAAAGGAAAGCATCAAAAAATAAAATACATAGGAATAAATTTATGAAAAGAAGTACAAGAATTATACACTGAAAACTACAAAACATCCTGGAAAGAAATAAAAGAAGCCCTAAATAAATGGAAAGACATCCTATATTTATGGATTTGAAGACTTAATATGGTTAAGATGGCAATACTCCCCAAATTGACCTACAGATTTCATGCAATTCCTATCAAAATCTCAGGTACGTTTTTTGCAGAAATTCACAAGTTGATCTAAAATTCATATATAAATGCAAGTGACCCAGAATAGTGAAAACAATCTTGAAAAAGAACAAAGTTGAAGGACTTGTACTTCTCATAAAAGTAAAGTAAGTAAAATTTATATAAAGTTACAGTAATTAAGATAGTGTAGTATTGGCATAAGGATAGACACATAGACCAAGGGAGTAGAATTGTAAGTCCAGAAATAAACCCATATATCTATGGCTAATTGATTTTCAACATTATGCCGAGACTATCCAATAGAGGAAAGAATAGTCTCCTCAACAAATGATGTTGGGACAACTGGATAGCTACATGCAAAAAATGAAGTTGGACCCCTACCTCACACTGTATTCAGAAATTAACTCAAAATGGATCAAAGGCCTAAATAAAAGAGCTTAAAGTATAAAACTCTTAGAAGAAAGCATAAGCCCAAATCCTCAGAATCTTGGGTTGGCAATGATTTCTTATGACACTAAAAGTAAAAGCAATAATAACAACAAAAATAGACAAATTAGACTTCATCAAAATTAAAAACTTTTATGCTTCAAAGGATACCATCAAGAAAGTGAAAAAAAAAATGTGAAAGGACAACGCACCAAATGGGAGAAAACATGTGTTCATACAAAAACTTGTACACAAATATTCATAGCAGCATTATTTATAAGAGACCAAAAATGGCAACAACTCAAATGTTCATCAGTGAATGAATGAATAAACAAAATGTGGTATATCCTACAATGGACTATTATTCAGCCATAAAAAGGAATGAAGTTCAGACACATACTACAATATGGATACACCTTGAAGATATTATGCTAAGTGAAAGAAGCCAGACACAAAAGGCCACATATTGTATGATTCCATTTATGTGAAATGTCCAGAATAGGCAAATCTGTAGAGACAGAAAGTAGATTAGTGGTTGCCAGGGGCTGGGGCTGAGTGGATAGGGGAATGATTGATAACGGGTATGAGGTCTCTTTTTAGGATGAATGAAAATGTTCTAAAATTAGGATAATGGTTGCACAACTTTATGAATATACTAAACCTACTAAATTGTACACTTTAAAAGGGCGAGTTTTATGTTATGTGAATTATAGCTCAATAAAGCTGTTATAAAACAAAAAAAATCCATCCTGCACACAAAAAAATATTTGTTAAGTGAATGAAAGAATGAATCTATTCATATTGTATGTTCTTGAAAATGTATCTCAGAGTTTGTTCCATGTCAGTATTTATGAAGCACTAGATGAGTGTGCAAGAATTCTTTATTTTAAATACATGTTGATGGACATTTAAGTCACTTCTGATCTTTTGTTATTGCAGACAGTGCTGCACTGAATATCCTTACAGACAGGCCATTTCACAAAAGCATGGGTATTTATGAGATAAATTCCTAAAAGAGGAATTGCTAGGTCAAAGAGAGTTTACATTTTATTTTGTTTTTTTTATTTTTTCCCCCAAAGCGTGAGTAGATAGTTGTATGTCATAGCTGCACATCCTTCTAGTTGCTGCATGTGGGACGCAGCCCCAGCATGGCCAGAGAAATGGTGCATCAGTGCGCGCCCGGGATCCGAACCTGGGCCGCCAGCAGCGGAGCCCACGCACTTAACCGCTAAGCCACGGGGCCGGCCCTGAGAGTTTGCATTTTAAAGTGTGACCGATGTCGTCAAATTGCTGTCCATAAAGAAGTTTTCCAATTTACCCTCCTCAGCCACGTACCAGCGGGCCTGTTTCCTTACATCCTCACCCACACAGTGAGTTATCCAACCTTTTGATCTTGGCCAATCTGATTGATAAGGCTCAAATATCTCACTCTGATCTAAATTTGCATTTCTCTGTTTCTGAGAGAGGCTGGAAAGATCCTGTACATTCCTAGTATTCTCCGAAGCTCTGGAAGCTGTCCTAGGGTTGAGGACTGTAGAACTCACTGTGGGAACCAGAATCAGGGCTCGCCCTGCCAAGGAAGCTGCACGGAACCTCCAGAACAGGGTGTGAGTCATAGGTGAAATAGGTTTACCTTAATCACCAACGTCTGTTGGGCTCCTCCTCTGTGTGGGATGCTCTTCCAGGTTCCTGAGAGAGCTGGTTAGTCAGGAAGGCTCTCTTGGGGCTTGAAAGGTCATTAAACATCGAAAGTGCAGTTCTTCCATTGCTCATGCCAACCTTTGGATTAAGAAGCACATATTAAGAGTCTGGGAGAAATCAGTGGCCTGGTGTTACGTCTGCACACATCAAATGGGCACTGGTCAGGCTCACACAAACCACATCTAGTAAGATGAGTGGAAAACCTATGAAAAACAACCACAGCTTTATTTTGTGTTTTCTTTCAGGAACTGTCTATCTTGACCATGCAGGAGCCACATTGTTCCCTGAGAGCCAGCTCACAAACTTCACTAAAGATCTCACGGAAAATGTTTATGGTAAGAAAAACACACCAAAACTGATTTTTGCATTGAAATTAGTCAACTACATTCAGCTGATACATCTCTGCTTAATAAATGTTGGATTAATAGACGGACCGTGCTGAGCACGCAAAGCTGAATAAGCCCCACGTGAGAGGGGGTCTCCTAGGGTCATTCCCTATAACACACATGCTGCCAGGATGGGAAGACCTGGCTCGGGGACACAAAGGTTACTTCCAGAATAAGGGGTCGGTGTCAGGAAAGGCACAAAGGTATGAAGGTGCTGTTCGGTGGTGGGATGACCCTGTGGGACTGGCACGTTGTGGAGGGTGGGGCGGCAGGAGGAACATTTATTCATTCATTCACTCCATGAATGTTTATTGAGCCACTGGTGTTCCGGCACGGTTGTGTAACGGGAAGAAAGTCAATACAGTCCCTGCCTTTGTGGACTATGGTCTAGTCAAGACAAGACCTTAATCAAGTGATTTCCAAATAAATGTGAATTACCACCTGTGTGACGGATATGAACAAAAGGCCCTGGTGCCATGGGGGTCTGTATCTGCAGAGTGACAGTGAGCTGGCAGTGTAGTGTCAGGGAAAACTTCCTTAGGAGTGAGGCGGATGCTGGAGGATGAGAAGGGATTCACCCAGAAAAGAGGAGGAGAAGGGCATTCCAGGCAGAGGGAAAAGCATGAGGCAAGACCCTGTAGTGGTTTCAGGAAGCAGCCCGGGAACACAGAGGGAGGGGAGGAGAGTGGAGGAGGTATGAATGGAGAGGCAGGTAGGCACCTTGTAGGTGCTCTGTAGAGCGCGATGTTTATTCTAGAAACAATGGGCAGTCATTGAGGGCATTAATCAACAGCACAATGTGATCAGGAGATAGCTTTAAAGGAAGCTGGAACTAATAGCAGCAGTAGCAGGTGTAGCGGTGGTGATGATCCAGCAATGAATGATATTTACCGAGCACTCACGACGCTTCAGGTGCTGCTCCAAATGCTTCCTCTGTATTATCTCTCTCTCCATCCTCATGACAAGCTTCTGTTATCAGATAAGCTAAGGTACGGGTTCTGTTATCACTCCTGTTTTACAGATGAGGAAAGCAGGTCCCTCTCAGAAAGGGTCGGTAAGTAACCTGAGGCCACACAGTCAGGAAGTGCTGGAGCTGGGGGAGCTGAGTCTCCAGGCCGTCTGGCTCAGGAGCACAAGCCCTCAGCCCCCACCAGCCTGCCTCGGTTCATGATGGTCCCCTAATGCCACACTAAGGCTCTGGGCAGCCAGCAGATGTTTAAATCTGGGAAACAGTCTCCAGGGAGGATGCCAGCGAGGGACTTTATCTCGATTTTAATCCATGATTTGCAAAGAGACCTGCAGTTCTCCCTCTTTCCCCTTTGCAAGAGTCATCACCTTGGGAAAGGTACTGGCCTGAGAGATGACAGAATTGAGACTGCAGGTGGTCCCAATGATGCGGGACTGAAAACCAGGGTAACGAAGGGCAACAAGGGTAAGCACCAAGTCCCACAGGTTGCTAGCTGATGTGGAAAAGGAACATTCGTAGCTTCAATGGCCAGACATCTCCTAGACCCTACAGTGTGGTTTGAAAAAACAAAAACAAAAAAGGCCAGACTGTGTTAATGGGCACATGTGGTCCTGCTCCTGAGAAATGCTGGTGCCCGGCCCTGCAGGTCAGGCCCTTCAAGGGTCTGTGTTCACGTCAGGGGACTGTGTTTTGAGGGAGGTAATGATACTCTGGGATACACACAGGGAGGGACACCAGGAGGGGAGAAAAACTAGAAATTGACAAGGGAAGGTTGAAATTGGGAGAGCCTTTTAGCCTTGAGAATGGGCGGCTAAGAGGAGACGTGACGGAGGAGGAGACGGATGTGTTTCTGCAGGAACGGTGCCAGGAGCAGGAGTGTGAACACAGGGCAACAGATGGGGACTTAGATTAAGTGGCATTCATGGCTCTGTCTCATGGTTAGGGGAAAGGGCAGCCTCCTGAGGTTGTGTATGGGTTTCCCTGGAGTTATTGAACAGAGCTGGGCTGACTACCTCTTGGGGAACTTGTAGAAAAGGTTCTTGCATTGGCCTGGCTGCCTCTGAGCTGGTTTCCAGTTCCAGAATGCTCTTCCTGGATCCCATCTTGTTTTACTAGTGAGGCAAGGGTTTTTGGGTTGTTTCTTTAACAGCTTTATTAAGTTAGATTTCACATATCATAAAATTCATCTATTTCAAGTGTACAATTCAATATTTTTAGTAACTTCACCAAGTGGTGCAACCATCACCATAGATCAGTTAGAACATTTTCATTCCCCCGATAAAATCTCTGATGCTGATTTACTGTTCATCCCCATTGCCCGCCCCCAGCCCCAGGCAACCGCTAATCTACTACTTTCTGTATCTCTACGATTGCATTTGCCGGACATTTCATGCAAATGGAATCGTATAGTATGTGAACTTGTGTGTCTGATGTCTTTCACTTAGCATGTTTTTGAGGTTCATTCATGACATAGCCAGTAGTTTCTCCCTTTTTATTGCTGAATAATTTCCCATTGTATGGATATTCCACATTTTGTCTATGTGTTCACCAGCTCATGGGCATTTCTCTTGTTCCCGGAGTTTGGCTTTACGAATAAAGCTGCTCTGAACATCCATGTGCATGAATCTTTGTGTGCACATGTGTTTTCATTTCTCTTGAGTATATAGGAGTGGCATTGTTGGCTCATGTAGTAGTTTTATGCTTAACTTTTTGAGGGAGAGGGTTTTGGAGGAATATAAAAGGAGACACCATAAGTAGTGACTCGATGGCTTTGTCTTTGTAACCTGCCAGGCAACCCTCACAGCCAGAACATCAGCAGCAAGCTCACCCATGACACCGTGGAGCAGGTGCGCTACAGGTGAGTGGCAGAGGTGCCAGCCTGACTGGATACTTCTAAGGATAGACTTCCTTCCTACCATCTGCCTGCATCCCTCAAAGGTTCTGAGCTGGTTTCAGGAAGATCACATTCAGCTACATGGCCACACATGCACAATGGTAAACATCAGGGGCAGGGGATGGGAAGGTGAGAGTGAGGAGGTGCAGGGCGGACAGAAGCGTAGGTTGGTGGCTCTGAGGTATGCACAGCTGTTGTGTGTGGCTCTGGGTGGTTGGGGCCAGAGTGACAAGAAGTGAGCCAGGTTTCTAAGTCTTTTTTCAGAGAGAAGAAAAACAGTTCCTTTGGTTTTTCTTTTCATGTTTCATTAGACATCTTGTTTTATTCATCTTTTTCCCCTCCTTTTTACTAATATTTGCATGTTAAACAGTTCTTTATATTTTTCCACATGTAATAATTAGTTTTTGGTGAATAATTTCCAGGTGGTTACTTGAATCAATACAATTTCAAATTATTTCCAATTTGAAAGTCATACTGGGTTGCCAATATTAAAAGCAACGTGAAACAAGTCAATGACTTGACACTTGTTATGACAGAGCTGCATAGTAGACCAAGGAGCAGGGGGTGTCAGCTAAGATTAAGGTCGTTGTGGATTTTTGTCTTATCCAGGTGGGGTGGGGACTTGGGAGGCAAGGTGATTTTGCCAGTTTGAACCTCTTTGTCATCTCTTCCCACAATTTCCTCTGCCCCTGCCCTAATTTCACAAGTGTGGCAAAGCCTGTCTGGGTTTTTTCTAGCTGTTAAGGTAGAAAGAGGTCATATTTAGTAGAACTACAACTACCTCCAAACATTTAACACTGGTGGGAGACCAAGGAGTTGCCTTGATGCTGTGCTTCTTCCAGGATCCTGGCGCACTTCCACACCTCCCCAGAGGATTACAGTGTGATTTTCACGGCCGGGAGCACGGCTGCTCTTAAACTGGTGGCAGAGGCCTTCCCGTGGGTGTCCCCGGGCCCGGAGAGCAGCGGGAGTCGGTTCTGTTACCTCACCGACAGCCATACATCTGTGGTGGGCATGAGGAAGGTCACCATGGCCATGAACGTCACTTGCATCCCGGTCAGGCCAGAGGACGTGTGGTTGGCGGAGAAACAGGGTACTGCCGCCAGCGACCCCGACTGCCAGCTTCCGCATCTCTTCTGTTACCCAGCTCAGAGTAACTTTTCCGGAACCAGATACCCCCTGTCTTGGATAGGAGAGCTCAAGTCCGGGCAGATGTGCCCTGTGAGCGTTCCTGGGAAGTGGTTCGTGCTGCTCGATGCAGCCTCCCATGTGAGCACCTCACCTTTGGACCTGTCGGTTCACCAGGCCGACTTTGTCCCCCTCTCCTTCTATAAGATCTTCGGATTCCCCACTGGCCTGGGCGCTCTGCTGGTGAATAATCGTGTGGCTCCTCTGCTGAGGAAAACCTACTTTGGCGGAGGCACAGCGGCTGCCTACCTTGCAGGAGAAGACTTCTATGTCCCCAGGCAGTCGATGGTTGAAAGGTAACCTTGCCAGGGGAGTGGCTGGCAGGGGTTCAGCAAGGCCAGGTCTGGCATGTGCCACCTGTAGAATTGTGCAAGGAACGGGGCTGGGCCACCAGGGTCAAGGGAGTTGGCCGTTGCTGGCAGGCATGGAGGCTGGTGGCAGGGCTCAGGTCTGGGGGGCAGAGGTCAGTTATGATATGCCACAGGTGGCTCAGTGAACTCTGCCCCCATTTGTGGGCTTCTCCACAGTATGGGAGGACAAGGGCCTGCAGGTAAGGACTGCAAGCAGAAAAGGTGACAGGCTCTCAAGGACTAAGGAGGAAGGGCTGCCAGGCCTTTGCCTAGAGCACTGACAAAGGCAGCAGCAATTAAAAAACAGTGACTTAAAGAGATGGCACCATTTGAACAAGTGTGCATACATGTTGACAGCATAGCCAGTTCTTCAGCAGCTAGAATCAGCTCAGCTTGGCATCTAGTTAGCAAGAGGAATCAATTAAATCAGAGGCCATCAGACTTGTGGGGCGCCATTAACAACAGCCTCTGTGAGCCCCGCTGTGAGTTACTAAGGAAGTTTGAGGGCAGGCAGCTACTTCCCCTCAAATGACGTAGACCTCTGCCCCAGTTTGTTGGTCTAAAAAAACAACAAACCAACCCTGCCCCAGGGTGCAGGGGCAGGCAGTGTGAGTCATGCCTGGGGATCTCCCAAATGGCAATGGCTGTGACCCATAGATTGAATGTGTGAGAAGGCGAAAATGGCAGCTGAGCTAGGGTTCTGATGGGTCCAACAGCAGGGGATACTATGGGGTTGGGGCAGGGAGCTAGTCACCCTGCTGGTGCCTGAGGAGGCCTAGGGCTGGATGGGAAGGTGGGTCAGATCCCCCACAGACCCAGGTGCAGAGAGGGTCCTACAGATAGGAGCATGGCCTTGGCAGTAGAGTCATTGGTCAAACACGTAGGCCCCAAAGCTAGATCACTGGGGAGTGAATCCTGGCTCCACAGCACACCAGCTATGGGAACAGGGGCATGTGACTTGATCTCTGCACCTCATGTTTTTCCTATCAAGTGGGTGTCTAAAAGGAAGCGATTCTTTAGAGCTAATATAGGTGAAGCACCAAGATGGAGCTGGCATCAATACGTTATGAGGCTATTTGATGTCTCTTTTATTTAGGACTTCTCCATGGTTGGGGGATTCTAAAATAGGAATGATAATGTAAAACCTTTTGAATCCAAGTATGATAATATAGCATGTAATATAACCGAGTATGAAAAGAATGACAGGCGCAACATCATATATATTAAAGGCAGAACAAACTGACAACCCAAAATTTATTGAGCCAATAGGGCACCTGAAGGCCAAGAGAAGTGGGGCAGCTCATTACAGGCTGGGCATAGGTGGGCTGGGCTGCACAGACCTCATTCCCTCCATTTAGGTTGGTTGCTTTATAGCAGATGCTGCACCAAGATTCCCAGAAAGCTGAATGTATTTACCATTAGAAGCCTAATTTTTTTCTTGTGAACTTAGGACTAGAACTCAAGAGATTTAATACCCAGCCCTGGGGTAAAAGGGCACATTTGTATGGTGATGGATGGCAACTAAACTTTTGGTGGTGAACACGACGTACTCCATACAGAAGTGAAAATACAATGATTACACCTGAAGTTTATATAATGTTATAAACCAATGTTACCTCAGTTAAAAAAAATACCCAACCCAAATGTTTCTTGAACATGTACCTGGACCATGTTCTTAGTCTTTTCAATCTTATAACCCAATGAGATACAACCTTTGATGGAAACAAAAAACTTCCCTTTCCCCCAAGAGTCTATTAATGATTAATTAATAAATAATTTTTATTATTATTGAATAATCAATAACTTAAGACATTATTGGCTAATAATGTTTAACTTATTAAAGATTAATTATTTACTAATTCATTAGTGGTTAATTAAAGATTTATTCATTGATTCATTATTAATTCTGTACGTCTATTAATTACCATTAGTTTTATAAGGAAATGAACATTGCAGTAACAATATTTTGAGTGAATCTGACCCCTAGAATATTAAAAGTACAGAACACAATATTTCCATTGAAAGTGTCAACTTGCATTAGACTGCTGTTTGTCACCATCCTTCATCCTGATGCTTGCTGAAGCCACCTCACTGTGGCCCAGCTTCCCCCTCGCTCCTGCAGCAGCCAGAGGTGTCTTGTCAAAGCCTAGGTCCCATCCTGTCACTCCTCTCTCTGCTCAGAGCCCTTGAGCTCCCTGTTATCTCACCCAGGGTAGAAATTCTCTGACTGTATTCCCTACTACTCTCCGCCCTGTTGGCTCACGCGCTCCCAGCCCCACTGATGTCCTTGGTGTTCGGCAGTGTGCCAGGCTCCTCCTGCTCAGGAAGTTTGCTGCACCCTCTCTCTGGAACCCTGTTTCCCTCTGAAACTGTGAACTTAGCTATTTCAAAATGATTGGTTTCCCTTGCTTCCTTACTTCCACTTGGTCTCTGCTCAAATGATCTCCCTCAGAGGGGACCTCCCCTGACCATCTTGTCTAAGGCAGCTGCCAGCTCTTCTGCATATGCATCTTTATTGCACTTGTCACTACCTGGCATGTTGCTTATTTGGTTCCTCTGTGAGTTTGTTCCTTGTCTCTGTGGCCTCAGGAGAACAGAAGCACTGTGAGGGCAGGGATTTACCCATCATGTTCACTGCTAGATCCTTAGCACCTAGAAAAGTGCCCGGCATTCAGTACGCGGACAATAAAAATTTGATGAGTATTTTGACTACATGCATAATTATAAAATGCAAACAAAATGAACACCTTGATAATCCAGAAAGCGCACATCTACTGTATTGAGAGCCTCGTAATTTTTACCAAAGCCTGTGGTTCTGTAGGCTTTGGAATCATGGACTCTTATTAAGAACCTCCTAGCTGCACAATTGATCACACTGAATTGATGCCGTCAATGGTCCTCTCTTGGGGTCAAGGGCAGCATTTCAAGAGCCCACAGCACTTGAGGTTTTGCCGAGTCCAAAGTCTTCCTGGGGGCAACGTAGCATTTCTCAAGGTGGTGACTGTCTTTGAGGGCCCTTTATCGCCACTGCTGTCCCACCCTGAGAAAGCTGCAGAGCAGGTCAGGGCCAGAGGTAGCCCAGTGTGTCTTGGTGTGCAAAGCCCTCTGTCCGAGGGGGAGAGCAGTGTTTTATAAGGCAGCAGAGGGAAGGTATTCATAGATTATGACTGAGCCTAAAATCAAAACCTTGTTACATACTATAAAATGCGCATGGAGATGCTGGCCGCAGCTTGACCTTGTTCCCCTCCCCCTGGTTACAGGTTTGAAGATGGCACTATTTCATTCCTTGACATAATAGCACTGAAACATGGATTTGATGCCCTAGAGCGCCTCACAGGTCAGTGGACGTTTTTATCCATGTGAAATTTGCTCCTGTTGCCCATGACCTTGAGGGAGCCCTGGCACAGGTGTGATTCAGATGAAGGAGCTAGAGTCTGTGCAAGTGAACGGCACAGGGCAGTTATACGCTGAATGTAGTTGAAGCTGATTCCAAAGAACTTCAGAATGACTTCTGAGGCAAGAGCAAGTGACTGAGGCTTTTTTTTGGTCAGTAAAAAGAACGTTTTAACAGGTAACAGACTTTCCAAATCAGGAGATGAATAGCTTCACAGAAGCAGAGGAGCCATCCTTGGTCCTTGCACTGGGAATGGTTACAGATCCTGAGACCTTATTCAGCTCTTACCTTGCTGGGTCCTCCCATGCGGGAGCTATATGACAAGCCCACTTTGCCTACGAAGGAGCTTATGCTCAGAGAGGTTAAATGCCTTCCTCAGGGCCAGGGAGCTGATACCTGGGAGGGCTAGGATTTAAACCTAGGCAATACTAACACCTAGCCCTGTGCGCCCAGCCACTGTCTCTGCTGCTGGCCTGTGCAATGACACATGTTTTCCTTCCCTACAAGTGCTTGAGGTGTGTGAGCAGGTGGAGGGCTGCTACCACAGGCTGACATACAGATAGATGTCACTTCCCATCTTACGGGGCTTGAGACAAAGGTGCATGACTGGAAGAACCTCTGTCTGGTGAGCCAGGCATCCACCATCCAGCTGTGCTTCTGGGTGCTCCTTCCAGAGGCTGAGCTTCTAGAACTGGGTTGCACTGCTTGTACCGTCCATATGGAGATGGGGTTGTGGTGAACCGGGGACATGACTTAGCAGTTAGGCAGTCCTTTCTCTCTCTATTTCATCACAATAATGAGATCCTTAGGTTTCTCAGCCTTAGCCCAACACTGGGGCAGACAGGATTCATGGGGCCCGCCCGGTGGCATTGTGGTTGGGTTCACGTGCTCCACTTCAGCGGCCCTGGGTTTGCAGGTTCGGATCCCTGGCGCAGACCTATGCACCACTCGTCAAGCCATGCTGTGGTGGTGTCCCATGTAAAGTAGAGGAAGATGGGCATGGATGTTAGCCCAGGGCCAATCTTCCTCAGCAAAAAAAGAGGAGGATTGGCATCGGATGTTAGCTCAGGGCTGGTCTTCCTCACACACAAAAACATAAAATAAAAATAAAGAAAAAGCTGTACATTTTTGCAATCTGTTACCAATTAACAGGTCTCAATTATCTCAACACTTAAGTAGCATTTAAAAAAAAAAAAAAGAGGCGGACAAGAATGCCAATGGAAATATTCCACAGAAACAGCAATGGTAAACTGTGGTTCAGTACTAAAGACTAAACGTGTATCGTATGGAGTGTACCATACAATATTTACAAGTATTTAAAATCATTAATATGAGGTCCAAGTTTGCCACTTGTAAAGATCTCATTTTCTTAAAAATGAGTGAGTGAATTTTATGTAAAGTTTATGATTCTCCTTGACATTTCATAATTGTTTTTGAGGTGGAATGGAGAATATCAAGCAGCACACCTTTACCCTGGCCCAGTACACCTACACTGCCCTGTCCGCTCTCCGGTACCCCAACGGAGCCCCCGTGGCACGGATTTACAGCGACACTGAGTTCAGCAGCCCTGAGGTTCAGGGTCCAATCATCAATTTTAATGTGCTCGACGACAATGGGAACATCATTGGTTACTCCGAGGTGGGTTTTCTTGTCATCTTGCTGGCTTCACAACAGAATTGCTCTCCTCTGGAACTCTGCAGACTTTCTCAGCACTGAAATTTGCAGTCAAGGCCTCCAGGCTCTTGCAGTAGCTGTGATGAAGCTGGTGTGTGTTGGAGAGGCCACTGGCCCTTCCTCAGAGGCTCTTGACGTTCATTTACGCAAAGTTGTAACAAGCATGGCTGTTTAGTTTTTCAGTCCTCTTTATGCAGCCAGAAATGGTCAATTTCAAGCGGGAAGAGAGCAGATAGTGGTTTGCAGGTTCGGAACTACTTGGGTTCTTCAAACAAAATCCACTTCTCAAGGAATCACGTTTCCCCCCCTCTTCTGAATAGCCATAAACTTTCTGAGGAACAAACTTGAAAATATTCTCCTGAGGGAAATGCCGGTTCTCACTGGTGTTTAGGGGCAGACGCTGTACAACCACAGGTTGTCTCTTGGGTGGGTTGACTGTGAAGACCCCTCACTGCCCCTCAGTTATACACCAGGAGAAATGGCCCCGACACCACCCAGAAGCATACAATTTTAAATGTTTTTTTTTGGAAGGAGGGTGGAAAATGCATTGGGGGCAAAATGTTTGCCTTCTTAAATGTGTTATTCTAGGTAATTGGTAAAATAAGTTTCATTCTTGAACCTAAAATAAGTTTGTATTTCCTGAGGGGTGTGGAAGAGGGCAGACAAGTGACCATGAAGTGTGCTGTGGCAGGCGGAGCGGGGAGAGAATTCCTCATTTGCCCTGAGAAGCCTCAAAGAGGAGGACCCACCCAGGGAGAGAAAGCTGCCTGTCTAGGTGCCTCATTGACTTTACCAGGACTCTTTTTCCCTGAGGCTGGACACAGGATGAGATTCTCCCTCTGTGTGTTTGTAGAGGAAGTTCGTCACATGAGTGGAGTGTGTAGCTGAGGCTTGGCCAGCTGTGCCGGTTCAGGAATGTCCAGCTTTCGTTTTCCTAGGCTTTCAGAACGTCCAGCTTTCGTTTTCCTCAGTGTGGGAAGGATCAGATGGCGTCGTGGCTGGGTTTGGCTGTCTCTTTTTCAGGGGATGTCTAAAAGAATTTAGCCTTCTATGAGACTTGGAGTTCTTGTTTTTGGTATCCAAGCCTCCTAATTTCATTCTTCCCGCTGGTGGAAGTCACTCTGCACAGTGGTGAAGAGTGGGGTTCAGATTCTGACTGCCTCTTGCTGGCTCTGTGAGCTTGGGCAAGTTAATGTCAGCTCTCCGAGTCTCTATGAAATGAGGATAACAGTGTACCAGGCTGATAGTGTTGTTAAGAGGATTAAATGAGATACAATATATAATCCCTTAGCATGGAGTCCCGTATGAAGCAGGTGCTCAATAAATATTGAGCATAAAGGCTCCTGGACGGGGAGGTTCTGGTGCTGCGCTATGGTTGCTGGTTTCTGCCCTCCCTGGATGCAGTGCTCATCCTGCCGCAGCAACCACTTCCTTCACCTGGCTGGGCACAGGCCAGGCCCCTGTGGGATTCTGCAGAGCTCACGGTGAGAGGACACTGAGTCCGATGGGAAATTAGGATGAAGGGTAAGTGTGACCACAACAGCCTCTTCCACCTACATCCTCTTCTAGGTGGGGTCTCTGTCTCTTCCCATTGAATCTTGGTGGGTTTGTGACTCGCTCATAACCAACAGAATGCCACAGAAGGTGACAGTGCATGGCTTTTGAGGCTAAGTCAGAAAAGACGAGTCAGCCTCAACATTGTTTCCTGGGACACTTGCTTTTGGAGCCCCGAGTTACAATGTAAGAAGTTCTACCCTGAGTCTGCCATGCTGTGAGCAAGCCCAGAGCAGGCACTGCAGAGCAGGCACTGCGGTGGCAGTCCTGTTTCGAGCCCTCCCGGCTGGGGAGTCAAAAACACACGTAAATAAGTGCCTCTCCAGATGGTTCCAACTCCCAGATGCCACATCACTCCCAGCCTTGGAGTCTTCTCAGCTGGGACTTGAGAAATCATGGAACAGAGTCAAGTCATTTCCTCTGTGCTCTTTCTGAATTCCTGACCATCTGTAGCTGTGAGCACAATAAAATGGTTACTGTTTTATTCCACCAAGTTTAGGTGGCTTGTTTTGCAGCAATGGTAACAGGAACAGAATACGAGGTGGGTGGGGGAAAAAGGTGGACATGGGAGACTTCTAATTCAGCTTGGCAGGAGTTGGGCTGGGGCAGTGAGGGGGCTTCCCTAGGAGCTGCCCTTTGAATGGAGACCATGTGACTCTGGAGGTGGAGTTGGTCAGACCCAGTGGTGCTGCCAGGTCTCACCTCAGAGAGCCAGGGAACTCTTGAATTTCATTAGCAGGCTTCCACGTCACTGAGCTATTCGCCAAGGGTAAAGGAGCAGAGTTGTTTTCCTGAGGCCTCGAAGTTCAACCCAGAGAATGGCTTCTTCTCACTGGGACAGTCTAAGGGAGATGGCTAGAGTGAAGACAGCCATGGCCTTGACAAGGGGACGTGGGAGGTACCATTGCTGCACTGCCCAGCTGGGAGCCCAGGCTGACTGCGTGATGACCTGTGGTCTGCAGAGGGCGCCGTACTCCTCATGGCTGCCTCTGGCCATCCCACATGTGACTTTCCAGGGAGAAACCTTGCAAAGGCTTACCCAGCTGGGCCAGATGTGTTTGTTTCCCTGAATGCAACTAGGTGACTCCCCCAAGTTTAGCCTGAATCACCTGGGCTGAAGACCCTCACTGGGCCCCCAGGTCCTTGGGGTAATGGAGTCCTTTACCCAGAGCTGGAGGGGCTGGGACAAATATCCCCTGCGCTAGCCCTGCCTTTGTGGCTTTAATTGCTAATCACGTCCACACTCCAGGGGAGAGGAGCCTTGGAAAGAGGAAAGAGCCTTGGAAAGAAGAAAGAGCCTTGGAACTTCTGGACTGAACACCAATTCCATGATTCGACCCAAAGTTAGGGACATGATGAAAAGCAAATCAGTAGCACACAGCGTCAACACAGTAATGTTTGTAGTCCAGGCTGTGAGCCAAAGTGGGGATGCTTTGTGATCAACCCTGAGGAAGAGGATGCCAAGGAGCTGCCCCACGGCCCAGCCTCACTCAGATTTTATTCTTGTGAATCTCACTTGAAACATATGGGCTCTTTTTTAAAAAAATTAATTTATTTATTAAAATGTTTTTCACTGAGGGGGCCGGCCCGGTGGCGTAGCAGTTAAGTTCGCACGCTCTGCTTTGGTGGCCCAGAGTTCGCAGGTTCGGATCCTAGGCGCGGACCGATGTACCGCTTGTCAAGCCATGCTGCAGCGGCGTCACATATAAAGTAGAGGAAGATGGGAACCGATGTTAGCCCAGGGCCAATCTTCCTCAGCAAAAAGAGGAGGATTGGCATCAGATGTTAGCTCAGGGCTAATCTTCCTCACACACACAAAAAAACTTTTTTTAATTGAGATATAATTGACATATAACATTGTATTAGTTTCAGGTGTACAACATAATGATTTGATATATATATATAGTGAAATGATTACTACAATAAGTTTAGTTAACATCCATCACCACACATAGTTAAAAAATTTTTTTTCTTGTGATGACAACTTTTAAGATTTCCTCTCTTAGCAACTTGCGAATATGCAGTACGATATTATTAACTATAGTCACCATGCTATACGTTACATCCCCAGGACTTATCTTATAACTAGAAGTTTGTACCTTTTGACCACCTTCACCTGTTTCACCCACCCCTTCCCCCCGCCCCCACCTCTGGCAACCACCAATCTATTCTCTGTATCTATGAGTTTGATTTTCTGTTTTTAGACTCCACATATAAGTAATATCATACAGTATTTGTCTTTCTCTGTCTGACTTATTTCACTTAGCATAATGCCCTTTAGGTGCATCCATGTTGTTATAAATGGCAAGATTTTCTTCTTTTTTATGGCTGAATAATATTCCGTTGTGTATATATACCAAGTTTTCTTTATCCATTCATCCTTCGATGGATACTTAGGTTGTTTCCATGTCTTGGCTATTGTAAATAATGCTGCAATGAATATGGGGGTGCAGATATCTTTTCAAGATAGTGATTTCATTTCCTTCGGATAAATACCCAGAAGTGGAATTGCTGGACTGTGTGGTAGTTCTCTTTTTAATTTTTTTTTTTTTTGTGAGGAAGATCAGCCCTGAGCTAACATCCGTGCCAATCCTCCTCTTTTTGCTGAGGAAGACTGGCCCTGAGCTAACATCCCTACCGATCTCCCTCCACCTTATGTGGGATGCCGCGACAGCATGGCCTGACAAGCGGTGCGTCGGTGCGCCCCCGGGGTCTGAACCTGGGCCGCCAGCAGCAAAGTGCGTGCACTTAACCACTACGCCACGGGGCCGGCCCTCTATTTTAAATTTTTTTTTTTTTATAATTTTATGTAAACTTTTATTTTATTTTTTCCCCCAAAGCCCCAGTAGATAGTTGTATGTCATAGCTGCACATCCTTCTAGCTGCTGTATGTGGGACGCAGCCTCAGCATGGCCAGACAAGTGGTACATTGGTGCACACCCAGGATCCGAACCCGGGCGCCAGCAGCAGAGTGTGCGCACTTAACCGCTAAGCCATGGGGCCGGCCCTATTTTAAATTTTTTGAGGAACCTCCATACTGTTTTCCATACTGGCTGCGTCAATTTACATTCCCACCAACAATGCACAAGGGGTCTCTTTTCTCCACATCCTTGTCATTTGTTGTCTTTTTGAAGATAGCTGTTCTAACAGGTGTGAGGCGATATCTCTTGTGGTTTTGATTTGCGTTTCCCTGATGAATACTGATGTTATGCACCTTTTCATATACCTGTTGGCCATCTGTATGTCTTCCTTGGAAAGAGGTCTATTCAGATCTTCTGCCCATTTTTTAATTGGATTGTTTGTTTTACACGTGAGCTCTTAACTTGGAATTTGGCCTGAATTTGATATTTTCATTTTTCTCAGGCATACATCCATAACCCAACTGGATAAACTTTTATTATCAGGAACATTTTATAAAATGTGCTTAGTAAACCCATGATAGATCATGGCACTTTAGAGTAAAATCCCAAGCTCATATTTTCATTTTATTGTTAAGAAAGAGAGGTCCAAATATTGATCTGAAACTCTCTCCCAGGCTGTCAGAGTAAAACTTGAGGTTCCTAACACTGGTTCCATGTCATATTAAACCTGCAGGTGGATAAAATGGCCAGTCTTTACAACATCCATGTGCGGACTGGCTGCTTCTGTAACACTGGGGCCTGCCAGAGGCATCTGGGGATAAGCAACGAGATGGTCAAGAAGCATCATCAGGTTGGTACTGGACCCTGTGGTCCAAACACTGGTCAGCAGGACCCAGTGGCGGCACCTCCAGCTACACTGGAGGCTGGCCATATGTCTGGGGTCAGAGCTGGTTCTGTGGGCTCCTTTCTCTGAGCCCACCCTATGGATGTGCAAAGGAAAAGGGGTCAACAAATATAGAAAATGCTTCAAGATAGTATCTCTATGGCAGTCATTTTTTACTTTGAGGGTAAAAATTTAAAGGCACAAGAGGGGTTTTAAGAGGGGGCAAGCCTATTGGGAATGTGCTCCTACATGCAGAGGGCCCTTAACTAGTTCAGTCCTACCAGAGTAAAATCGGGTTAGTTAGCTCATCTCTGGGCTGGGTGAGGAGAGGAACACTTCCAGGGGGCATTCTGCATCTCTTGGAATCCCCTCCCTCCTCCCTCTCCCCTGGGCTGAGGTTTTTCACTTCAGGGTACAGCCTGTTTTGAGCCATTTTATAAGAATAGTTTGAGTGGCAGAGAGCCCTTAATTATTTCAGAATAGTTTCTAACGAGTTTATTTTGGTTGCCACTAAATATTTTAAATACTAGATCTCAACCAACCATGAACTGGGTTTTATTTAAAAAGAGAGAAAGGGAGGCTCAGAACACGAACAGATGCAGTTCCAGAGATAATATTTGATCCTGTGGAATGCCGTGGCCCATCTCTTTGGGTGGCTGACCTGGGTTCAGCGCTGGGGGAGGTAGGCAGCCGGAGCGACGACCAATACCGGGCAGCCGGGTTGGGAGAAACTTGGGGACCTCTTGCTTTCTTTCCCCACCTCCTGGCAGGGGCACTCACACTGCCTTTGGCTTTCATAGTGGCCTCGGGCTGGTCATTCCTGGGGCAGCATCTCTGTCTCACCCTCCTGTCAAAGGGCAGCTATCAGAGAAGCAGGCCTCCCTTTGGTTCTGAGAGAGGCTGAAGGGAGTGGCCAGCAGGCGTTTCTCCCATCTCAGCCCTGAGTAGACCGAGAAGCTGAACCATCTGTGCTTCTGAAACTTTGGTCTGTCTTTTGACGCCTCTGTGGTTGGCACTGTGTGCAGCTCTGGGTAATGCTTTCATGAAGTATTTCTTTTACCTTTTAATGACCCTTTAAGATTGGGATTGACCCCAATTTACAGTTGAGGAAAGTGAGGCCCAGAAATTGAGTCCCTGCTCTTGGGGAACTACGCCTCAGGCACACAGCCCATGTTAGAGCTGCAGTTCTCTTTTCAAAAAAAAAAAAACAAACAAAATTTGTTTTACATTACAAAATTAACAAAATTTGTTTTACAAAACCGTTTCCAATTTCATGAGGAATTAGTCACTCTGGCTGACTTATTTCCCTTTTAATTCTAGGCTGGTCACGTCTGTGGAGACAATGTGGACCTCATAGATGGGCAGCCGACAGGATCTGTGAGGATTTCATTTGGATACATGTCTACCCTGGAGGATGCCCAGGCCTTTCTCAGGTTCATCATAGCAACCCGACTGTGCCCATCTGATGGCCAGCATCTCCTTCAGGCCACCCCCGGGGAGCCTGCAGCCCTGCTAGCAGAGAGCGAGGCTGAGAACGCTGTGCCTGCCACCGTGGACAGACGTAGTCCTTCACCTCAGGAAGATGCTTCCTCAGACTCTGGGATTTGGAACGACTTGCCCATTGCTGTGGATGCTGGGGGTTTGCACCCACCTCTGCTGGAGGTCACCAGGACCCAGCAGACCCCTTCAGAGAAAGCTGCAGGAGTCCCGGATGGGGGCCTAGGGCCACATGTTGTCACCAACCTTTACCTCTACCCGATCAAATCTTGTGCTGCGTTTGAGGTAAGGGTTTTAATGGCAGCACAGAGACTGCTTCTTTTTTGTTTACATTACAATGTTTTTTGATAAAGTGAAGAATAAAGTATAGAAAGTGAAGAAAAGCATGGAGAAAATCAAAATCACATTCAGGGTATTGTGACATATAAAGAGTCGTTCTCCTGCTTTTCTCAGTCTTGGCTGACTTTTGAACATGGCTTTGCTTACAGGGACCCCTGAGCGGACCCTGTTTCTGAGAGGTGAACACCTAGTTACTGTTAATAATTATGGGTGTAACTTTCACTGAATGTGTGTGCTAGCTCCCTGCCGAAGCATTTTACGTGCTTTGTTTCATTCAATCCTTAAACAATAATATGAGGTGCACGGTAATATCATCCCCATTTTGTAGACATGGAGCCTGAGGGTTATTGAGGTTAAGCACTTTGCCCAGGTCACCCAGCAATAAATGGTATAGCAGGGATTTCAACCGGGGTCTGCTGACTCCTTGGGTCTACACTCTTATGTGACGTGTTCTGCTCAGGCCTCCCTGTGGAAGTGAACTATGTTATGTCTTGAAATGTGCTGGCCTGGCGGTTGCCTGAGCTGGGAGACTGGAGTGCCTGCCTTGGCCAGCCAGTCCTGACCCCGCTGCTGTGGCCAAACTGAGGCTATCTTTCTATAATCTGTGTGTCCCAAATCCCAGGTGAAGGTCCCAGACTCCTGAGGCTCTGGGATGATAGGCTCTTTGACTCCTGGTCAGACATAGCATGGTCAGGGCTGTTTGTCACCTGCATTTCAGGGTGGTCCCACAGGAGCCTGTCCTCCAGTCTGAGGCCAGAAACAAGCACGTTCACCCCTACTCCTGAATGGAGGCAGGTGAGGAGTCCATGTTTTCCTTGTGTATCAGGACTCTATTTTCACAGATGGGTCAAGTTCCATAGGATAGCCACATCGCACAGATAGCACGGGCAGGAATTAGTGTCCCATTTTACAGACGAGGACACTGAGACTCAGTAAGGTTTCATGTTTTGCTATAGGCCTCCCATCCATCTGCTCATTCAAAAACCACATCCTGAGCACCTGCTACCTGCCAGGCCCTGGCCAGCACCTCGTGTACAGTGATGAGCAAAATGGAAGTGGTTCTTTCACTTGGGGACTGCAGTGTTTCAGAAGGGAAACAGACACAAGATCAAACATCACCCAAGGGAATAGAAACACCCAGGTGATAAGGGCCAAGAAGGCAAGAGGTGGGGTATGCCAGATGGAAGTCTGGTGGGTGGATGTCTTAGTCCGTTCAGGCTGCTATAGCAAAGTACCATCAACTGGGCGGCTTGTAAACAACAGAAATTTCTCTCTCACAGTTCTGGAGGCTGGAAGGCCAAGATCAAGGCACCGGCGGATTCTGTGTCTAGTGAGGGCTCACTTCCTTGTTCATAGATGGCATTTTCTCACTGTGTCCTCACACAAGCCACAATTTAGAAAAATTAAAATTTAACTTTATTTTGAAATAATTTTAAGTTTAAATAAAAATTGTAGCTATAGTACATAGCGCTCCCGTATACCTTTCATTCAGATTTTCTGATTGTTGACTTTTCTGAATCATTTGAGAATAAGTTGCACAATGATGCCTCTTTACTTCTTAATACTCTAGTATATATATCTCAAGTTCAAGGACACACTCTGACATAACCCTAGTGCAACCATCAAAATTAGGAATTAACATTGACTCAATATTACATCTAATCCACAGACCCTGTTCAGATGTCACCTATTGTCCCCATGCTGTCGGCTATGGGTCTAGGATGCAGTCCGGAATCATGTGTTGCATATAGTTGTCATGTCTCTTTAGCCTCCTTCACTCTGGAAAAGTTCTTCAGACTTTCCTTGTCTTTTAGGACCTTGATATTTTTATCGAGTACAGTCCAATTACTGTATGTCCCTTAATTTGGGATTATCTGAGGCTTCCTTAGGATTTCTGTGTTTTTGGCAGGAATACCACAAGGGTGATGCTCTGCTTTCTCAGTACATCCCAGAAGGAGACACACTCTGTTAGTTTGTCCCAATGCTGGTGATGTTAACTATTATCACTTGGTTAAGATGGGGTCTGCCAGGTTTCTCTACTGTAAAATTTATTAATAAATATGTTATACTTACTAATTAATAAGTATTTTGTGGAGTGATACTTTGAGAATATGTAAATAACTGTTCCTTATCAAATTTTCATTTATTAGATGTAGCATTTATTGATGACTTCTGCCTAAATCAATTATTGGTATGATGGTTGGAAAATGGTAATTTTTCAAATTCGATCATTCCTTCTAGATTTATTAGTTGGTGTTCGGTTGTAGGGTAGAGCTTTCTTTCGTGTATATTTAGTAATTAATTCTTTTTGTTGTTGTTGTTGAGGAAGATTCGCCCTGAGCTAACATTTGTTGCCAATCTTCCTCTATTTTGTATATGGGTCAACACCACAACATGGCCGCTGACAAGTGGTATATGTCCACACCCGGGAACTGAACCTGGGCCACTGAAGCAGAGGGCGCTGAACTTAACTACTAGGCCACCGGGCCGGCCCCAATTCTTTTTTTTTTTTAATCTACATAGACTCCTGGATTCTTATTTTGCATAAAAGGTTACAACCCATCACTATCAGTATTTATTTTGATCCTCAAATTGCTGCAGACTTGGTCAGTGGGAGCTCCTACAAGCCAGCTCCTGTGTCCTTTTGATATATCCCCATCATTCTTTGAGCACTTTCTTACTGTCTGGTCCAACAAGATACTCTAGACTCCTTCTATATTTCCCCTGCCTGGGAAATGGAATTGGCCATTTCTTCAGGGAACCTCACTTCTTTTATTAGAGAATGATATTTAGAAATGAATACCTGATTGCTAGGTCTGATCATTACTTCTGAGATGTTACTGCTTCTATGCTCTCTCAGTGTACAGAGCTTAGAAATACATTGCATTAGTTTTCTATTGCTGCTGTAACAAATTATCATGAACTTTTAACAGGATTCATCTGATTAGATTGGGCCCACCTGGATAATCCAGGAGTGTCTCCCCATCTGAGTCCTCAACTTCAATCACATCTACAAGTTCCTTTTGTCTAAATCCGGGGATTAGGACATGGACATCATTGATGGGGACCGTTATTCTGCCTAACACATATATGAATGTGTTAAGACTTTTGGGACACCCTTCACACACACACATCTGTATTTCTCTCTCTCTCTCTCTCATCTAGCCATAGCCATAATTTCACACTAATACGTCGAATTCCAATCCAACAACACAGGGTTTATTCTAGCTATCCCTCTTTCCATACTTGTAATTCCTGTGAGAACCTGGCTCCCATTATCCTCCATGAATACTTATTTGCTCAACTCCTCCTTATGTAACCAAAACCCCAGCTGCACCAGCTGAAATCTCAGCCCACACATGCCAGTTTCCCCCTCCCTCAACCCATACACGCAGGCCGAAAGCTTGGCCCAGAGGAAGAGGAAGAAGGAAGGAGGAAGCCAGTAAATTAAATTTTTAGGTGACAAAGGATAGAAAATTATGGACGTGTTCCAACAAATAGGTGTCAAGAACTGTGAAGGTGCTGAGATTTTGCCCTACTTATAAGTGACAAGCTCGCCTGCCACAGCTTCATGGATGCTGGCAAAGGACATGAGACTCCTGGGTCAGAGGTAAAGGACTTTATTCCTCACAGCACAGCAGGCAGCATGAGCTTCATGTTTGTGTTGGTTCCCTTTGCCTCCCAAGTCCCAAGAGGGAGTACAGAGGGGCCTAGGTGGATGGGACATAGCCAAGGAACTCCTGACTCAGGGAACCTGACTCTTTTATAATGGGATGCAAGAAAACTTCCCTAGCCACTGCTTAGGACGAAGACATTATCTTTATAATACTGGACTGTAAGCAAGCCTGCCCTCCACTCCAGAGGATTGTATGGCTGTTCACTATACAAACATCCTCAGAAAGATAGTCTGGAACAACAGACATGCAGAAGCAAGAAAGATCCATGGAGAATTGCCTCCCAATAACAGATTGACTTCTAAAAAGTTACTTGTAACTCAAAACATGTTTTCCTGTGGAAATAATGATTAATGGTGGTTTCTGGGCTTCTCCGTGAAGACTAATATATATAGACCATAATAGTGCTGAGCTCGAGTGCTGTGCTAACAGAAGCAGCCGTAGTCTACAGGGAGAGGTTATTTGATACACAAGAAAAACGAAGGGAGGAGGTAAAGGGATTAACATCTATGGATCATCTGATATATTTTAGTTGCTTTACATTCTGTTTTAGTTTTCGGCCAATTCTATGAGAAATGATAGTAATGTTCAATTTACATATAACAAAGCCAAGACTCAGGAAGGTTAATAAGTTGTCCAAAGCTAATAACTGGCTGAGGTGGGATTTAAACCCAAGTTTGTCAGTCTCTAAAGGAGCCCCCCACCCCCACGACACCACATTTCCACTTCCTGGGTACAGGGCTCACCCTGCTTGAGGTGAAGTTTACCTTGACATTCTTCCTCCTTGAGTTCTGCCCCCTTCCCCTGTACCCTGCAGCTCCTCTCCTTCACTTTCGCTGGTGCCCCAGTCTTCCCTGACCCACCCCAAAGGACCCCTAGGTTAAAAATTGCTTCCCTTCCTTCAGTAGCTTCAATTGGACTTTTCAGATTTCTTTGAGTAGCTGAATTGAGAGCTCAGACGAAAACACTGGATGAAATTGACTTGCAATTAGTTCGAGAATGATGGTCTTTACCCATTTCAAGAGCGTTTTTTACCCTTCATCTTCAGTGGACAGCTGGCTCCAGAAGAGTCCTCATTGATGGGACTACTACGTACGCACTGTCACACGTGGGGCTGTTAGCAACTAACCTGTGGACAAGTCTCCTGCAAAGACCTGGTCACACTTTGTTGAAATTTCATTAGTTTTCTGCTAATGTCCTTTTTCTGTTCCAGGATCCCATCCAATATGTCATATTACATTTAGCTCTCATGTCTCTGTGGGCTCCTCTGGGCTGTACCAGTTTCTCAGACTGTCCTTGTTTTTGATAACCTTGACAGTTTTAAGGAGTATTGGTCAGGTATTTTTTAGAATGTCCCTCAGTTTGGTTTTGTCTGATGTCTTTCTCAGGATTAGATTGGGGTTATGGGTTTTTTGGGAGGAGGACCACAGAGGTAAAGTGCCACTCTCATCATATCATGTCAGGGGTACATGCTATCAACATGACATCACTTTTGATATTAACCTGGGTCATCTGGTTGAGAGAGTATTTGCCAGGTTTCTTCGCTGTAAAGTTTCTCCCCGACCTCGTTTCCATACTGTGCCCTTGGAAGCAAGTCACTGAGTGTAGCCCACATTTAAGGGGTGGGAGCTATGGTCCACCTTTTTGAGGGAGGAGCGTCTACATCAATTATTGGGGATTCTTCTATATGAGAGATTTGCCTTTTCTCCCTTGTTTATTTGTTCAATCATTTATTTATATCAGTATAGACTCATGGGTATTTATTTTATACTTTGAGTTATAATCCAATACTACGTTGTTATTATTATTATTGCCCAAATTGTTCCAGTTTTGGCCATTGGACACGCTTTCACTTGGCTCCTGCATCTTTTTTACATACCCCCATCATTTTCTTTTTTGAGCACTTCCTGCACTTCCTTACTTTTCTAGCACAACAAGGTGCTCCCGGCTCATCTTGTATATTCCCTGATCCAGCCCTAGAATCAACCATTTCTCCAATGAGTCCTGGTTCTTTTTATTGGAGAATGGTATCAGAATGCAAGATCTGGGCACTGGGTGTGATTTGTATTTTAATTTTGTAGAAATATGAAGCATTCAGGAAGACTTACACACACAAAGTGGATCAACTCAGTGACCATTCCAGTATAGCCACAATTTATGCAAGAAATATATCTACTATACTATCGGGATATGCCTGTGCAGGCTTCCACCACTGTGGAAGGACATGCAGAAAGCAGGAGCAATGGAGACCTGTGTCGGGGAGAGCTGGGAGGCTAGGTGGGGTGGAGACTTACTTTTCATGTACACTCTTGTTCTCTCTGGATGTCGACCATGCACATGAATTACCCATTTAAAAGACAGGCTGAAGTGCGGAAGGGTGGGAAGTGAATCTGAAGGGTGAATGGAAGGTATCTAGCTCCCACATCATCTCCTCTGCAGTGTCCTCTTTAACTTTCTTCTCTTCCTCCATTTCTTCCTTCAAGAGTATGTGCTGAATTCCTGAAATCCATCTGTATTTGTGCTGCCACTATGCAATAATGTGAAGATCGCTTTTGAGGGGCCCTGGCCTAAAATACACTTACCTTTTTATTTAGGTGACCAGGTGGCCTCTAGGAAAGCAAGGGCTGCTGTACGACCGGAGCTGGATGGTTGTGAATCACAACGGCATTTGCCTGAGTCAGAAGCAGGAGCCCCGGCTCTGCCTGATCCAGCCCTTCATTGACCTGCAGCAAGGGATCATGGTCGTCAAAGCCAAAGGTGTGAACACTGGGGTCATTTTCACAGAGCAGCTGTCAAGAGCTTTTTTACTTATATGAAAGTAAAATAATGGCTTCTCCTCTACCGAATATTAAATTATCCTAAAGTGAGTGAATTGATGTCTAGGAGAGACAACAAAAAGTTTGTTGCTCTTGTGTTTTTTGGGAAATTTCTGGGAAGAGATAAAGGTCTGACAGTCCAATCAGAAAGTAAAGAGGTGTAAATTTTGGAATTATATGATGTCCTTTTCACTTACATTCCTTTTATTTCCTTCACTTATCAGAATATGTGTTGCAAGCTTTAATTCTTCCGTGCTGACTTTTATTATAAACCATCTGACATATATAAAAGTATAGACCAGCTCTGTCCCATGGAACTTTATGTGATGGAAATGTTCAATATCTACATTGTCCAGTTTGGTAGCCACCAGTCACATATGGCTACTGAGAACTTGAAATATAGCTAGTGGGACTGCAGAACTGAATTTTAAATTTTATTTAATTTTGATTAATTTAAATTACTGCATGTGGCTAGTGGCTACAGTGTTAGGACAGATATAGAGAATAATGTAATAGGTAATTACAGGATCCAATTTTAACAATATTAACATGTGGTCACATCTACTTCAGATTCTTCCTCTCCCTCCTCCTCCTTCCCTTCCTCTCCCGCCTCCCCTTCCTCTTCCTTCCCTCCACCCTTTCTTCATTTGAGAAATAAAAACATCTCAGATATAGCTGAAATTCCCTGTATGTTTCTTCCTGATCTCACTCCTCCTCCTTCCCACTCCACCTACCATTTATAGAATATTCCAGTTTCCCTCCTAACTTGTAGCTGTACTTTTGTGATACCTTACATGTCTACACATTCATGATTCTGTTTCTTGGTTACAGATGTTCTGTTCTGTTCCAGGATTTATTTTTCTGTTGAACCAACAGGCCAGTGTTATTACCAGGGCTGTAGAATGAGTCTTGATACTGGTAGGGCACATCTTTCCACCTCATTCTTCCAAATTGTCTTGGCTATTCTTGGCCTTTTGTTCTCCTGTATGAATTTAAACACATGGACTGATTTGTGTAGCTCCTCCCACAATCAAGGTACAAAACAGTTCCATCACTCCGGAAAACTCCCTCATTGCTATCCCTTTGTAGTCTCTCTTCCCCTACCCTTAACACCCAGCAATCAGAGATCTCTTCTCTACCACTAGTTATATTTTTTTTGAGAATGTTATATAAATACAGTGTGTGACCTTTTTGAGATTGGCTGATGCCTTTGAGATCCGTCCAAGTTATTGCATGTATCAATAGTTTATTCCTTTTTATTGCTGACTAGTATTCCACTGTATGGGTGTACCACAATGTGTTTATCCATTCATCTGTTAAAGGACTTTGGGTTTTTTCCAGTTTTGAGCAATTATGAATAGAGCTGCTATAAACATTCATGTGCAGGTTTTTGGGTGACTAGAAGTTTTCATTTCTCTAGAATAAATACCTAGGAGTGGATTGCTAGGTCATATGGTAAGTGTGTGTTTACCTTTAAAAGAGACTGCCAAACCATTTTCTAGAATGACTGTACCATTTTGCATTTCTTCCAGCAATGTATGAATGTTCCAATTACTTCACATCCTGTCAGCCTTTGGTATTTTCAGTGTTTTTTATTTTATTCATTTTAATAGATGTGTAGTGGCATCTCATCATAGTAGTAATTTGTATTTCCCTAATGGCTAATGATGTCAAGCATCTTTGCATGTCCTTGCTTGCTCTTTTTATATTCGTTTTGAACCATGGATTACTTAGAAGTATATTGTTTAATTTCTACATAGTTAGAGATGTTCTTGTTTTCATTCTCCTATTGATTTTTAGTTTAATTCTATTAAACCCTCCAAGAGAGAGAACATAGTTTGTATGATTTTAATTCATTAAAATTTGCTAAAGTTTGGTTTATGACCAAGGATGTGATCTATTGCTATGAGTGTTCCATGCATAGTTAAAAAGAATGTATATTCTGCTGTTGTTGGGTGGAGTGTTCTATAAATGTCAATTAGATCCAATTGGTTGATGGTATTGCTGTTTTTCTATATACTTGCTGATTTTTCTGACTACTAGTTCTGTTGATAACTGAGAGAAGAGCGTTGAAGTCCCCAACTGTAATTGTGGATTTGTCTGTTTTTCCCTTTTAGATCTGTTAGTTTTTTCTTTACTTAGTATTATTATGTCTTCTTGGTAAATTGTTTCCTCTTTAAGTAATGTCTCTCTTTACAGATGGTAATTTTTCTTTGTTCCAAAGTGTGAAGTATGAAATTTTTTGTCTGATATTAATATAGCCACTTCAGCTCTATTTTGATTAGTGTTTACATGGTATATCATTTCCACTCTTTTAGTTATTTCTTCTAGCTTTATTGATATTTATTTAACATACTATGAAATATATCCATTTAAAGTGTGCAGTTCAGTGTTTTTTTGTATATTCACAAGGTTTTACAACCATCACCACAATCAATTTTAGAACATCTTCATCACCCCAAAGAGAAACCCCATACCCATTAGCAGTCACTCCCTATTCCCAACCTCACCCCCAGGCCCTGGCAACCACTAATCTACTTTCTGTTTCTATATATTTGCCTATTCTAGATGTTTCATATAAATGGAATCATACAATATGTGACTGGCTTCTTTCACTTAGCATAATGTTTTCAAGGATCATCCATACTGTTTATACTATTCCATTGTATGGATATACCATATGTTTTATCCATTCATCAGTTGATGGATATTTAGATTGTTTCCATTTTTTGGCTATTATGAATAATGCTGCTATAAACATTTGTGTACAAATTTTTATGTGGAAATATGTTTTCAGTTTTCTTGGGCATACACCTAGGAGTGGAATTTGCTGGGTCATAAGGTAACTTTATTTCTAGCATTTCCAGAGTGGCTACATTGCCACTTTACATTCCTACCAGCAATGTATGAAGTTTCCAATGTCTCCACATCCTCCTCAACACTTGTTTTTTTCTGTTATTGTTGTTTTAAATAGCCATCCTAGTGGGTGTGTAGTGGTACCTCATGTGGCTTTGATTTGCATTTCTCTAATGACTAATGATGTTGACCATCTTTTCATGTGTTTATTGGCCATTTGTACATCTTCAGAAAAATATCTATTCAAATTCTTTGCTTATTTATTTTTTAATTATTGAGTTGGATGAGTTCGTATATGTATATATATATCCCTTTTCAGAGCTATGATTTTTATTTTATTTATGTATTTATTTTTATTTTTATTTTTTTGTGAGGAAGATCAACCCTGAGCTAACATCCATGCTAATCCTCCTCTTTTTGCTGAGGAAGACCGGCTCTGAGCTAACATCTATTGCCAATCCTCCTCCTTTTTTTTCCCCAAAGCCCCAATAGATAGTTGTATATCATAGTTGCACATCCTTCTAGTTGCTGTATGTGGGACGCGGCCTCAGCATGGCCAGGGAAGCGGTGCGTTGGTGCGCGCCTGGGATCCGAACCCAGGCCACCAGTAGAGGAGCGCGCGCACTTAACCGCTAAGCCATGAGGTGGCCCTGAGAGCTATGATTTTTAAATATTTTCTCCCATTCTGTAAGTTGTCTTTTCACCTTCTTGATGGTTCCATTTTACTTTTAATCTGCCTATAACATTATTTTGAAGTGAGTTTCTTGAGCCACTATATAGTCAGCTCACGCTTTTTTATCCATTTTGACAATCTCTGTATTTTCGTTGGTGTGTCCTGTTGGGATTTTGATTGCAAAATCACGTATTTTGCAATCATATATTTGTAATCATATTTTGAGTGCAATGTCATATATTAATTTCAGGAGAATTTATATCATAATATTCAGTCTTTTATATATAATAGTATCTTTCTCCATTTAAGACTTCTTTACTCTAAAATTGTAATAATATTTTCTAGAAAATTTTTGCACATTTTTTGGTTATATAATAGTTTGTTGGGGTATTTTGAATACTATATTTTTTCTATTAAATGTTTTAATTGGTTATTAATGCCGTTTAGAAACAGTTTTGATTTTTGTATATAAATGTTTTACCCAGTACTTTTTCTGAATTCCTGTTAGTTTTATTTCTTGGTCTGAAGATTTTTCTCCCATGTTCTATGTAAATAGGCATACCATCCTCTAATAATGATGGTTTTGTATCTTCCTTTCCAATTTTTATTTCTCTTCTTTTTCTTATCTTACTGAATTAACTAGGCCTTCTTGTATAGTGTTGGAGCAGTGATGGAAGATATCCTTCTTTATTACTGATTTGAATAGAATGCTTCTAAAGTCTCAAAAATAAGAATGATGTTTACTGTAGGTTTTTGATAGATTTGTTTTACCAGGCTAAAGTAGCTCTTTTCTTATTTAGCCAAGAGTTTTCTGATGACTAATAGTCAATTCTTACTGAGCTCTTTCTCTGCATCTATTGGTTTTCATATTTTTCTCCTATAATCTATTAGTATGATGTCTTACATTAGTAAATTGTCTAGTACTGAACCATCCTTGCCCTCTTCGGAAGAAAAACACACTACTTAGCAATGATTTTTTGATACATTGATGGATTTGGTTTGCTAATTTTTTTTTAGTATTTTTGTACCTATTTTTATTAGTGAAGTTGATATGTCACCTTTTTTTATTGTACTTTATTGTTAAAATTCAGGTACCCAGGATATTAACATACAAAAAGAGTTTAGTAGATTACTCCTCTTTCTATCCTCTGAAGCATAAAAATATATATCATGAGTATAATAGAGTTTATCTCAGAATGTAAGGAATGGGAGAGAGAAAGAAAACAAATACCCAAATGTGTTCCACTCCAAATTAGCAGCCTTTTGTGAGGTGGCGTGGTGTCCCCCACATGTATCAGATATTCTGCTCACTTGTAGGGACTTCCAGCATTGTGGGTAGAGTAAGGGCATCCTTTGACAATGTAGGACAAGAAGAACTAAATAAGAATCAATAAAACAAGGCATTATGGTGGTTTCATGTGTGTGACTTGTCGCTCCCAAAGATTTTAGGCATCTTGAGTCCAGAGGTTGGTTTCTTTTATTTCTCTGTATCTCTGAACTGAGCACAGGGCTTAGTACATATGGAATGAACTCAGTCCCCATGAACTTTGTTGGGGGCCCTTGAGTTCAATCCACATAGGGATTCAGCACCCCAGATTTTGTTGCCTTAACAAGAGGCCTGTAATGATCTTTATAAGGCAACTGAGGGCCAAAGACCTTGAGTGATTTATCCAGAGTCTCGGGTAAGGGTAGAAAGAGGCTGAGCACAGGCCTCCCGCTGGCTGCCTAGAGATGCACTTGCACCACGGCACTTGTTCACATGCTGTCTCCCCTGCTGTGAGAGCTCCAAGCTCACTTTACTGCTCTCCACTGTGGGTGCATACAGCAGTTGGTTCCTCTTCTGGCCTTCCCCACAGGGGGACAGGAGTATGGAACTAGCTGTGCATGTGTAAGACGCAGACAAGCAGAGACATAGTTCATGGAATAACTGTTATACAAATTGTCACGTCTCTGTCTTTGTTGTGGTGAAAGGCCTGTTGTGATGGGCATGGGCCTAGGCAGCAGGCATGATCTGAGTCTTGTGAGTAGGAGTCAGGTACCAGTTTGCCGTGCCATGCTATGTCGTGTGTGTGATGAAGCAGGACCACGATGAGCAGGGATGCAGGTGTGCATGATGTGTGCTTGCCTGAGGGACAGGTTGGGTCATCCTGGTGAAAGTATGACTGGCAGCAATGCTGAGAGGGCTGGACGGCACAGGTGGGTCACACAGCAGGAGGTCCTGCTTCTGATGTCCACAGAGTAGGGGCCTCCACAAATTCAACTCGGAAGTCTTGACTTCATGCCTTTCGCTATAGTTTTAATGACTCATGGAGGACTAGAAGGAGTGCAGAGTGGCAGAGGACCTCAGCAATCCCAGCCTTTATCAAAGGTCTTTCCTTAATGGCATTGGATCAGTTTCCTTTAATTTCCTCCACATGTTTCACTATAATTTTAGTTAAAGAATGAATACCTTTAGTTGGGTAGTGGGTACATGAGTGTTAATTATTATTATTCTTTAAACTGTTACATACATATGTTATATACTCCTTTATATATATGATGTATAACAATTAAAAAAAAAAAAAAGAATAGCTTCCCAACCCCACTGATAGTTTTTTAGTGATAATGATGATTGATGCAGGAATCCAATTTGATGCTGACTCCTAGGGGCTCCTGAGAATTGACACTATGCCGAGATCTTTACAGAATGAGCCTTCATGCCTGCCCGTCTATTTCTAAAAGATTTTAGGTAGCTTAGAGAACAATGACCTTGGGATGTGGAGTCATCTAGAGGTAGAGAAATCTTTCAAAGGAATTTATAGTGTTCCGGGAACTGTGGATGTGACCGCCCCAGTGCAGGGTCTTCCACCAGAAAGCTGCTCAGTGAACACGCTATTGGTGGTACTGAAAATACTGAAGAGAATCTGCATTATAAAAAGATTTCCAAGACCCAGCCACTTATTGGATTCAACCAATTTCCGGGGTCATTAAAATTCTTGTGTATTTCACGATAATGGACTTTTACTTACATAGTTGTTCTTCTTCTGTGATGATAAATTTGTCTCTAACCTTTGTTCATTAGGGATGGAGCCTATAGAGGTGCCTCTTGAGGAAAACAATAAACAGGCTCAGATTTGCCAAAGCAAGGTCTGTGCGGACAGGTGAGACTCTGCAGCAGCTGAACTCTCAGGTCCATCTGGAGTTGTGCACTCTGCTCTAACTGCACTGGCTCCTTGCTCCTCTTCACACCGACCAAGCATGCACCCTCCTCAGGACTTTGCACTCACTGTTCCCTCTGCTTGGAATGCTCTTCCCCTATTTAGACCTCCTCAGGGCTCCTCCCTCACTTCCATCAGGTCTCTGCTGAAAAGCCCCCTTCTCAGAGGGGCCACCTGACCAGCCCCTCCCCGCTGCTTGCCCTGCTCTATTCTTCACGTTTATTGTTTCCCCAGCATTTATCCTCAGTCCCTCTCACTAGATTGCCTCTCCGAGAGAGCAGGACTCTCTGTGTTGCTCCCTGCAGAGACTGGAACAGAGGGTGGTGTGGGAGGGAGATGAAGTTGGGAACCGTTCAGAGGAGGCATGTGGAGCTCAGGTGGGGTGGCTGCAGTGGAGTGGTAGGGGAAGACCTAATTCACATTTTGAAAAGAGTGGCTGGTGGGTGTAGAGTAGTTGGAAGGAGTCAGGGGGCAAGTGGGAAGGCCAGCTGAGCACCTGTGTGAGTAACACAGGCGGGACAAGATGGAGGGTTGGGCCAGGGTCAGGGAGAAAATCAGGTGGACGTCAGATTATATTCTGGAGGTACCATCATCTGAGCCAGCTGATGGATTGGCTGTGGAGGCTGCGGGTGAGGGAGTGTCAAGATGTCCCTCAGGTTGTATCATTTTCAGGTAATAACTCGTAAATTATATTCCGTACAGTTGTGGATTACTACCTAATTTGAGTTATTGGTGATAAATCATCTGCTAAAATTTCGAGGAAATGTAGAAAGTGAGGTTCAATGTAATAGCATTTCTATTTTATTTCTGGACTGTAAATGTTTACAAATCTGCTTATTGTATACATCAAATTCCTGTGTCTCTTTTTATCTAAATCTAATCTGGACCCCAAAACATATGGAATAGCAAATTTTCTGATTGTGGGAACTGATTCAATGGGTTCTCAGCCCATCTAATACCCTAACCAATTTACCCCCCAAATACTAAAACAGTTAACCAGAACAGTTCACTATGATAGAAGGTTTTTCAAATGCTAATTGCCTAGTAGTTAACACAATAAACTCACTAGTGGGTGTGTTTGTGCTCAGTAGCTGGTGATACTGCATAGTATGGAATCAGATTACATTTTCTTCTGCCCTGCAAACATATACTATCGTGTAAGTCATGAAATGATATGTCATATACTGAAGCTACATCTAAATTGGGCTCAAATTGTTAGAGCCCCAGGGTCACGCTGGGTGATGAAGGGCTACTCCCTCAGGAAAGGTGTGGTAGTGTGAGGATCGTGCTTAGCACAATTGAGCGTCACGGGCACTGGGCCATCCTGGAGGCCCAAGTGTTGAGCACACTGTCCATCCTCTTGCCAGTACTTGTGCCAATAAAGATTCATTACAGTAGATTTTCAATTTAAGGCAATGAATTTTGTGTATACATTTTTTGCATGTCACTATAGCAAATCATTTCATAGAGAGAAATATAGCCGTTTAGGGATACCTGTGATTATTTATCAGGTTCATTCATCCCTGATTGTACGTTTCATTTAGCTGCATCTGAGAGGAAAGCCGTTTTCTGGTTAACAAAGCTTTTCAGATAGCTAGAGGTTAGGCTTCTTATGCTCAGAACCATGAGTACTCGATGTAATGAAAACGGACTTTGGTGCAAGCTTTCAAAGCACTGGAGGGAATGTGCTACAAAGCGAGGTTTCGTTCTTCCCTTTCCTTTCCAGAACAGAAAGGCAGCTATTTTTCCCAATAGAAATGAAAGATAAGATAGGTTTTTCAATAATATCTATCTTGTAATCACGATGTAAGATATTAGCAATTTTGCATTATAAATTCTGATGTGTAGATTTAAAATTTTTTAAAAATCTTAAATTCTATTAAAAATTCTATGAGATTGAAGAGTCTTTTAAAAACTGGATCAAGAAATGTACTTATATTGGTAAGTTATAGGCGTAGTGTTCTTTTCACAAATCAAAGACATCAGTCCATGTGGCCTGGCCGTGAAAGAAAATGCTACAGTCGGGCGCGTAGTAAAAAATCAGGACACATGTCTCGATTCAAGGGCTTCTTAAAGCAACATAATGCTCTGGAAGCTCTCAAATTCTATGCTTTGTGGTTCTCAGTGGCTATAATTAATATAAACAACTTCTTTCAAGAGGAACTGCTGAAGCTTTTTATCTGATCTGAAAGCTTTGCGCCAGCCCCAGATCTCAGGTCTTCTTCCTGTGTCTGGGAGATCTCCCTGCCGCTTCCTGAGCACGCCTGTCCCTTTAGGCTTCCGTCTCCCTGGGAGCTCGATGTTTTTTTTGTTATATTATCTAACTTTTTACAGTTTAGATTATTTAAAGGAATACTGTATAACATTCACCATGCCTCCTTTTTTTTTTTTTCCCCCCAGGGTAAATACTTATGATTGTGGAGAAGAAATTTCAAGCTGGTTGTCAAAGCTTTTGGGCCGTCCATGTCATTTGATCAAACAAAGTTCAAACTTTCAAAGAAACGCAAGGAAGAAACACGGCAAAGGTATCACATTTTGGATTGGTTCTCAGGGGCCAGGAGCTTGGGCTTACCCTTGCGTACGTCAAAATCAGCCCGAGAAGTGGATTTACAGGGCGACTTGCTCACGTACAGAGAGTGGGGTGGTCAGCCCTTGGCAGACAGGTGCTGCGGTGGCCCCCAGGTCAGCAGGACCCGCGTATGGTCTCCAGGATAACCCAGAGGAGGCCGAGGCGGGCTTCCAGCCAACTGCTTCATCTCTGCTCAAGCGCTCTGCCTCAGCCCTGCATGTTTAGAAGCACAGTTGTGTTTTGTTAAATAAAAACATTAGTAGCTTGCTGTGTCCTCAGATTGGATTTGGGAACAAGAAAACCTGGGTTTCTAGTCTTGGTTCCATCACCAAACGGTCGTGAGAGCTTGGCAAATACTTGAGCCTCATGGTGCCTCAACTTCTGTAGACCTCAACTACTTAGACTTTTTAAAGTTTTGATAATTTTTCCTGCCATAAGCTGTTCTTAGGATGAAGTGAGACAGCAGAGAAGAAAGTACTTTGAGAAGAGATCATTTTCGGGTGTCTGCTCATATGTCACCTTCTCAGGGAGGCCTTGCCTGACTGCTCTCCTTAGAACCAGAGCCTCCACTGAACCTGCCCAGCTCCCTTCCCTGTTGTGTTTTTCTCTGTGGCACTTTTCACATCCTACAGGCCATGCATTTTACTCACTTATTCTGCTTCTGTTCCGCCTTCCTTCTCCTAGATCATCAGCTCTGAGGAGGCAGGGATTTCTGTCTGCTGTGTTCAGTGCTACAGCCCCAGTGCCTAGAACAGCACTGGCACATAGTAGTTGCTCAGTAAATACTAGATGAATGAATGAATGGATCATTGCTACATTATCGTTTGTGCAGAGATGGCCTAGTGATTAGCTCTCAGAGGGACTGGCTTGTAAATCAGAATAGCATTTTGACCATACAGGACCAGTAAACAGGTCTGGGGACCTGCACAGGTTAACCTATGAGTCTCTGAAAATGTATGCTAGAGAGAGGAGTCACAGGATGTAATCTACTTAGGCTTTTACAAGTCTTGACAATTTTTCATGTCATAAGCTGTTAAAGAATTTGAGTTGTGGTGTGATAGAGAAGGGAAATAAAGCTATGTTCATTTTATTGAGGGGGTGAGCTGGTGGTGTTTGGGCATGGGTAAGCTTAGAGACATGATTAAAGGGGAGAGAGAAATGGGCATTTCCATGAGTAGAGACATGCAAGGAGGGGGATTCATCAGGACTGGTGATGACCAGTGATGAATCATTTATCATTATAAATGATCTGATTGAATAAGTTCAATCATTCCTAGTGCTTCCTGTCTACCTGGGGCTTGGCTGGGTCTTCAGGAGGCTGGCTGAGATTATTAAGCAATGGTTGTAGTCCTTTGGGATCTCAGTTTAGAGCTAACGACTCACCAGCAGACAGTGACACTACGACATAACAATGAAGGTCTGTGCAAAGGGCATGGGTGTAGGGGAGGCATCCTCTACACCTGGATTGAGTCATGGAGGGCTTCAGGGAAGAGGTGAGTTTGGAGCTGCATCTTAACAGGAGAGTAGGAATTTTCCAGGGAGAGAGAGGCAGGAAGTTTATTCGGGAGCAGTGTGGCAGGGCTTAGCATTTCATGGGCTCAGAGAAGGATTTAGGAGGGTCAGATGTGGGTAAGGGAGTGATGGGGCAGAGCTGGGGAGAAGAGATGAATGTGCCATTGAGGAGTCAGTGAGTACTATCTTGTGGTTGGGGGACTCATTGAAGAATTCTAAGCTGGGGGGTTTCATGACGCCATTTGTGTTAGAGAAACACTCCTGGTGTGGTGTGGAGGCTGCATCAGAAAGGGAGACGAGAGAAGCAAAGGGGCCAGGCAGGAGGTGGCAGTGACTGTCCTAGTGGGAGATGGGGACCTGAGTGAGGCAAAAGTGGGAGCAGAAAGAATCTGTCACCTGCATGATACAGGATCATGGAGCATCAGCTGGTGAATATTTATACTTCAAGGATGTCATTTACGGTAGTGAGGTCTCTAATGGTCTAGGTCACTGGTCTTCAAACATTTTTGCATTGGTACACCTTTAGAAAGAAGAACAAGAAGTCTTTGCCAGAAGATTCAAGAAATCAAAGGAAAATTTAAACCTAGATTAGGAGTGCTGATCCACCAAAAAGGAAGCACCCTATCTGATCAGGAGAAAATAAAGGGAAGGTGGAAACAGTATATAGAAAATCTGTACAGAAGAGACAGAAGGATGACAGATTCCTTTGAAGAAGATTTGTATTAGGAAGAACCTATGATTCTAGAAAGTGCAGTAAAAGCTGCCCTGAAAGTACTGGGAAGAGAGAAGTCACCAGGGGTAGATGGGATATCAATAGAATTATTTCAAGCCACAGAGACTGAATCTGTCAAAATCCTAACAAGAATATGCCAACAAATATGGAAAACAAAACAATAGCCTACGGATGAAACGCTCAATATGCATCCCAATTCTCGAGAAAGGAGATGTCAAGGAGTGCAGTAACTAGAGGGCCATTGCTCTAATTTCCCATGCAAATAAAGCGATGCTCGTGGTGCTGCAGTGAAGGTTTTTATCTTATTTAAGGCAAAAAATGCCTGATGTCCATGCTGGATTTCGAAAAGGGGGAGGCACACGAGATCTAATTGTGATTATTTGTTGGCTGCTGGAGCACTCCAAAGAATTTCAGAAGGAGGTTAGTCTATGTTTTATAGATGCGAGTAAAGCCTTTGACTGCGTGGATGGTGAAAAGCTATGGGCTGCTCTGAAAGAAGTGGGTGTGCCTCAGCACTTGATTGTTCTGATGTGTAACCTGCGTTGTGGACAAGAAGCCACTGTCAGGACAGGATATGGAGAGACAGAATGGTTTTCTATAGGCAAAGGTGTCAGACAAGGGTGCATTTTATCTCTCTATTTGTTTAATTTGTACAAAGAACATATCATATGAAAAACGGGCCTAGACTCAAGGAGGAGTGAAGGAGGAGTGAAAATTGGTGAAAGAAATATCAACAGTCTAAAATATGCAGATGACACCATCTCACTGGCAGAAAGCAGCAATGACCTGAAACGACCTCTGATGAAAGTGAAAGAAGAAAGTGCCCCAGCGGGACTGCATTTGAACATCAAGAAGACAAAAACCATGACTACAGAAGAACTACACAACTTTAGCGTAGACCGTGAAAACATTGAAACTGTTAAACAATTTAACAATTTTGTTTTGTTTACTTGGTTCAGTTGTCAATGTAAATGGAGACTCCAGCCAAGAAATCAAGAGAAGACTGAGGCTTGGAAGGGCAGCACTGAAAGAATTAGGAAAGATCATCAAGTGTAAGAAAGTGTCATTAGGGCCGGCCCCGTGGCTTAGCGGTTAAGTGCTCGTGCTCCGCTACTGGCGGCCCGGGTTCGGATCCCGGGCGCGCACCAACGCACTGCTTCTCTGGCCATGCTGAGGCCGCGTCCCGCATACAGCAGCTAGAGGGATGTGCAGCTATGACATACAACTATCTACTGGGGCTTTAGGGGGGAAAAATAAATAAATAAATAAAATCTTAAAAAAAAAAAATTAAAAAAAAAAAGTGTCATTAGAGACCAAGGCCAAGGTTAGCCACACCCTCGTATTCCCAATTACTATGTGTGGGTGCAGAAGCTGGATAGTGAAGAAGGTTGATAGGAAAAAAAATGGTTCATTTCAAATATAGTGTTGGAAGAGAGCTCTACAGATACCCTGGACTGCCTGAAAGATAGCAAGTGGGTTCTAGAGCAAATTAAGCCTGAACTATCACTGTAGGCAAAAATGGTAAAACTGAGGCTGTCCTAATTTGGGCACATCATGAGAAGGCAGGATTCACTGGAAAAGACAATAATGCGGGGAAATGTAGAAGGCAGCAGGAAAAGAGGAAGACCAAATACGAGATGGATTGAGTCCATGAAAGGAAGCCATAGGCATGAGTCTCCAGAAGCTGAGTAGGGCCATTCAAGTCAGGACATTTTGGATATCAGTCATTCAAAGGGTCGCCAAGAGTTGGAGCCAACTTGACACCAAGGCACGTAACAACAACCACATCTTTAGAAGAATTTTTTTTTTTCAAAGATTTTATTTATTTATTTATTTATTTTCCCCCCAAAGCCCCAGTAGATAGTTGTATGTCACAGCTGCACATCCTTCTAGTTGCTGTATGTGGGACGCGGCCTCAGCATGGCCGGAGAAGTGGTGCATCGGTGCACGCACGGGATCTGAACCCGGGCCGCCAGCAGCGGAGCGCGCGCACTTAACCGCTAAGCCACAGGGCCGGCCCTAGAAGAATTTTTTTAAAGCTACACTACCTCCTCGTACATTTTTACACTGTCATCTAAATTTTTAAAAATAGTTTAATTGCAAAGGATGTGATTTCCAGCATATTGTAAATATAGTCATTTTAAATTAAAACTCATACATCGCCCTTTTAAACATTAGCCAGTGAAATCTCAATATCATAGTGATTTGATGCCCATTAATATTCATTAAAAATATATAAATATATGAACAAACTGTCTTTTAATAGTCAGAAATGTTTTTTCTTTCCTTTTCCTTCTTCAACTTGTATTTTCATTCTACTCTTGAAGAAATTTTATCTTAGCATTGTGTATTTTATGATTGAAAATCATTCCTTGATCAGCCTATCATATTTATCTAAAACGAAAATTGTATATAAATTGAAATGTATAAAAATTTTTAAAGTTTACTTTGATCATAGAGTGTAAGTGTCAGGAAATTTCTTCTAGGTTGAGTTCTTATCATAATTTTTAATAGTATACAGTTGATCAAAGCAACAAAAGTATATTATAAATTTTGAAAAATAGTTATTAAACATAAACAGAAAAAAATGTTGAAAACAAATCTCTTAGTGAGATGGCTGGGCTCCTGCCATTCATACCCATATCCATGAATGACAGTCACCTATGACCCGAATAGCTGGTGCTCAGCATTAGTTCTCTTCTGAAAAACCTTATTTAAGCCAATGAAGAGCTGAGGATGAAGGAGTCTGGTTAACTCGCTGTCACTCAAACCTTTCTTCTGAGGCACAGGGATCTAACATTAAGATGACTTCAATCATCTGTCACTTGACAACCTAATTGGGTTGGGCAGTTTTGTAGATAGCTGAGAATTGGAAGCCTTCTGACGTACAGGAGGATCATTCACCCAAGCTTTAGAGACTTTTATTTTCTCAGCACAGACCCCAGGGGTTTGAATGGGGCTTTTGTCTTCTACCCTGGAGAGTCTCAGTCCCCAGGGGCAACATGCCCTTGGAGAGGTGTGGCCTTTTCCCTGTGAAGTGCGAGAAGGGTCTTCTGTGGAGCGGGCTGGGATTGCACCTCCCTTCTCTGACAGAGCCATTTTAGCAAAAAGAACATATGAAAGTAGGGGATTTGGGAAACAACTCTCTTAAAAGTATCTATTCCCGTGTACTCCAGGGTCCACAGACCTGTTTTGGAGACAGCTCACCAGGCTTTGGCCCAGCTGATGCTTTTTATCAACATCTTATGTAAAGATAGCAATGGTGTGCCCAACAAGAGAGACGGAAGCTGGGCGGCAGGCTGCCAGCGGTTCTGGAAGCACTTGATATTTTCTTCTACTTTTTTTTTTTCCCTTTCAGTAGTTTTAAAACTTGTATTATTTATTTCCAAAGTCCACATCTCACACTTGCCCAAGGGCAAAGAAACAGCTTTTCCCTGACTAGATTCGGAAGATCTTCCTGGGCTTGTGACCTCTTCAAGGCCCCTCTTCCGTGTCATCTTGGGGAGGGTCCCCCAGGCTCAACCCTGTGACCCATCTCTTCTCTTCTAAATGTTGCCTCCAAGTCTTTGCTGGAACAATTTCGCTTCAACATTTTATTTTATTTTTTTTCCAGATTATTAACAGAGTATTCTAGGAGCTCATTTTCTTTCTGTTTTTGAGAGGTTTGAGCCATGCTTAGAACATTTTTATTATTTCCAGGGCACTATGTTTTTCCCTTGTAGAAAAATCTCTATCTTTTAAAAATGCAACTCAGTGGCAGCACGATTCATTTGCATTCCAAGGAAGCAACTCCTCTTTTAAATACTCCATCATTTTTAGATCCATCTCCTGGTACAACAGCCACCCTTTCTCTGGTGAATGAGGCCCAGTATCTGCTGATAAATAGATCCAGTGTTTTAGAACTTCACCAGCAACTAAACACCAGGTAAGGTCCCTTTACTATTTGCTATTTACCTTGGGAATAGCAGACAGCGTAACCACTTGCCCCTGGGAGTGACCCTGGCACCTGCCTGGGGAGAAAAGATCTGAGAGTCGTGGAGTTCAGACCCTTCATTGAGACTGAGGCCCAGAGAAGTCACAAAGCCGTTTCTGCCAGTTCCCATTAGTCTTTCTGAGGGTTCTCTTTTATCTTACAATGATCCTTCTTGATGCCCTCAAGATGCTTAGTGGAGAACCCCAACTCATTTTTTAATCATTCCATTTCTTTTTTTGTTTTTTGTTTCTTTTTAATTTTTATTTATTTATTTTTTTCCCCCAAAGCCCCAGTAGATAGTTGTATGTCATAGTTGCACAGCCTTCTAGTTGCTGTATGTGGGACGCGGCCTCAGCATGGCGGGAGAAGCGGTGCGTCGATGCGCGCTGGGGATCTGAACCCGGGCCGCCAGCAGTGGAGCGTGAGCACTTAACCCCTAAGCCACGGGGCTGGCCCCTTTAATCATTCCATTTCTTAACATTTGCTTTAATTGAATTACCACCAGCTTGACCCAATTTCATTGCCCACCCTCCCACTGTGCCCTAGGAGCCTTGCCGTATTTCCACAGTCATTTTGAGTGAAAAGAACAGTGGTTATGAAAGCTTTTGAAGTTGTCATTGTAGATATTATTTGTTTGTATCATCAGACAGAACCAGCATGCCCGCCTCCTCCCTCCCTCCCAGTGCTCTGCCAAGGGCCCTGACAGTGTTAGAAGGTGAGCTCCAGAAAAAGTCTTGGTTAGTTCAACCCCCCTTATTATTCTTTAGAGGAAATTGAAGTCCCAAGGTAATCAAAAAATTAGGGCAAAAAAGAAAAAAGTCACCCAGCTGTTATGCAAGAGCCGTGACCAGCTGCTCATTCCTGGTCCACAGGCCAGGGAGGGGTATCACATGCCCGTCAGCACCATGAGGCAGGGATCCTGTGACTGTCACATGCCACGTGATCATGTGCATGTGTGCACACCCACATATGCATACAGATATAGCTTAATGAAAATGACAAAGACGGACCATTTGTAGTAATTCCTATTTATAGTCATTGGCGAGAACACAACAGAGTTCCCTGGCCGTGGCCCAGCCCACCTTCCTTGAGAGCAGAAGTGTGACGCAGCTGCATGGGCCCTGGGTGTTCACTGAGTTTTCCTGGCACTGGGTGACCCTCCTCCTCAGGTACCCAGAGCCCTGGAGAGAGCAGGTCTGCGGGTTTCTGGGATTCTTGGTGTGAAATGATAGGAGGTGGAGACAGGCTTGCTGCACCCCAGTTCCTACCGGCAGGGGAGCGCATTTCCCACCAGTTGGTTTACTGCAGGGCTGACACACAAGGGGTAGGTGGGATAATTGGTCAAAGGTAAGAGGAACAACCTATTGCCAGTACAGGACAAGGGTCTCTGGGGGCCCTGGTTGGTGTCTCTCTGTGTTCTGTTTTTGAATTTGATGGATGCTGTCGTGCACATGGTGACCACGATAGCTTTTGGACATAAAACTTTCTCTTTTACAAAGCACAAAAGGAGGGTTTATAATCTGGAGGGTAAATCCAGAATTGAAGGATTTTAGGACTGGAAAATGCTAACCCTGACATTTCCGTTGAGGAAACTGCAGTCCTCACAGGTCATGGGAGTCGCACATAGTGGCAAAGCTAGACTTGGTTCTCCTGGTCCCGGCTTTTCACATGCCATTCACTGTTTGGAAGGGGATTGGGATACAGCTGTGGGACCCCTCATCCTCCTTCAGAGCCTTCAGTTCTGTCTCCAGGGCAAATTCCAGTCATGCTCAAGAATTTCCATCCAAACTTAATTTTTTATTGAAGTACAACAAAGTGCAAAAATTGTAAGTACACAGCTCAATAAAGTTTTACAGATATATATACCCATGTAACCACCACCCAGATCAAGTAGAGAGCATTTCCAGGACCCCAGAAACCTTCTTTGTACCCCCTCTTCATCAACCCCACTGAAGGTCACCGCTATTCTGACTTCTTTCACTATGGACATTCTCACCTGTTCTTGAACTCAGTCTAATGGGACCATTTGGTGTGCTCTTTTGTTGAAGTTTTCAGATGCTTTTTCAGTGTGTTCCTCTTGGGGGGTGGGTGGTGGATGGAGGTGCAGAGAGCCATTTTACAGGACCTCATGGCTGTAAACAAAAATTTTTAACAAGAATTACAAAAATAGCATATGCTAGCTAAAACTGCAAACAGGATGGAAGTTAGGAAATAAGTATTAAAACCTCCCGTATATACTCTATGTTGCTTTATCAATTCTCATATCCAAAGTGAGTCTGAGCTCTTGGTGCTTTTTAGGTCCTTGGTAATTAAGCCTGTTGACGCTTTAAATGCCTTCTCCCGACTCAGCTTGTAGAATTGGTATTTTCTCAGAAGTTCATTCACTTGACCCCGTTCACTTGGTTTCTGAAGTCCTTTGCCTCTTCAGTGAAGATCTGCTCACCCTTTGCATTCCCTCTTGTGGACTCTCCATGGACATGGACCATATCCCAAGGGAGACCGTTGAGGTCTATCTAACAGATGGGTGTCTCTTGGCCTTACGCTCATGGGAGAAGCTTGTTCTGATCATCCAGGCCCCAGGCCAGAGTACAGTTGATGAAGTCAGGCATTGAGTGATAGAAATATTGAATTATTATAACAATGCAAGTATCCACCCCTCCTCCACTTTTTCGTTTTTGGTATGTCTTAAACAGCGATGAGAACGGAAAGGTGGAATCATTCCCAATGAAAGACCTCATCTCACGTTTTCGTGCCAATATTGTTACCAATGGAACAAGGGCTTTTGAAGAAGAGAAATGGGATGAGATTTCAATTGGTTCCTTGCGTTTCCAGGTGAGTTCTGGAAAGTTCTGTTATCCTTCCTCAAGGGTTGACAATGGACACTGACCTCAGTCCTAGGCCAGGATGGTGGCAAGTGGAAATCCCTCCCCGTCTTTGACTCTTACCCACAAAACCTCAGCAGGAGAGTATGTGACATCTGCATTCTGGGACACCCCTTGGAATGATCCATCCCTTATTCCCAACCAGGGTGGCAGCCGTCAGTTTCACGTGAGGAAGAGGGAATGTGCCCTGTACTGGTGATGGAGGGCTCAGTGCTGCCTCCACCTCGTCATTATGTCTAGGTTTAAACTCTGTTTTCGTGAAGTGTTGCGTCTATGAGAACTTCATCCTCCTGAAACTTGTTGGACTTTTCTGCTGTCTGGAGCACGTGGAGGAGGACCCAGATGCCCAGTGGTCCCTCAGAGGGCTGCTCCCCCTCCTCCCGTGCTCTGGCTTCTGGCCTCACTGGCAGCTGGGGAGGAGCTTGCAATCAGCGGCAAAGCCGTGGAGATCCCCTCTCTCCCCAGGCTTTGGGTCCCTAAACTCGTGCTGTGGGCTTCAAAGATGTGAGAAAATCTTAAGTTAAAATCATTGGGGCAGATAAGGCCCCCGGAGACCTGATTGCGCTGGCCTCTCCGACCTCTCAAATCTCTCCAAGCTCATCCCTCTTCCCCCCTCTGCCTATAGTACACACCTTCTCTCTATTCCCTAAACAAGCCAAGCTTCCTGCCTCGGTGCCTTTGCCCTTGCTGTCCCTTCTGCCTGGCACATTCTCCCTGTAGCTACTCTAGGGTCTCAGCCCAGATGTCACTTCCTTGGAAAGGATGTTCCTGACTCCCCACATGGTCACACTCTGCACAGCGCCTGCTTATTCCTTCAGTGCACACAAGTGTGGGGACCAAGTTTGCTTTGTTCCCTGCTGTACCTCTGGGGCCTAGAACAGTCCTGGCCCAGAGTCAGTGCTCAATAAGTGTTGAGGGAATGAATGGACAGGAAAGATAAGATAAAGATGGGGGGCCGGCCCCGTGGCGTAGCGGTTAAGTGCACCGGGTTAAGTGACCCGGGTTCGGATCCCAGGCGCGCACCGATGCACTGCTTGTCAAGCCATGCCGTGGTGGTGTCCCACATAAAGTGGAGGAAGATGGGCACAGATGTTAGCCCAGGGCCAGTCTTCCTCAGCAAAAAGAGGAGGATTGGCATGGATGTTAGCTCAGGGCTGATCTTCCTCACAAAAAAAAAAAAAGATAAAGATAGGGACAGAAGGATGGGTCATCTGCACAGAATGTTTCCCATTCTTCAGTGGGGAATGAAATTACTTTAATAATAGTAGTGTTATTAGCTGGGTGTATAAACGGACTATAATGGGCTACCCTTATGTCTAGGCTCTGCACTCAAAACCAACACCACTCTAACATTCAGAAAAGCAGTAAACAATAATTGAAATCTTTATTGAGGAATTTCAGAGGTCTGGGGTTGGGAGGGCAGATAAATTGCATGGCCCAAAAAAAAATGTCCCAAAGATCTTTTTTATCTATTTAACTCCCCAAACTTCCCCTTATCCTGGCAGCTGCTCCCCCTTGAAAACATAATCTCTTTTCTCTCCGATATTTTTTCCCATAGCTCTCTCTCTGGCACCAGCCTTCCTGCTGTTCCCTCTCATCCCTCCGTCTAGATTTACTCTTTTCTTCCTCGTTTTCTATTGCTTTGTCTCTGCTGTGTCTTAAAGACACCTGCTCTTACACATGTTGTTTGACAGACGGAGAGAGGGAGGGTGAAATAAAGGAAGAAAGAAAGAAGAGAAAAGAGAAAGAACTAGTACTAGACTAGGATCACTGTCAGAAACTTACCTGGCAACAGGTACCTTTCCAGGTACCTGCGCACGTAAATACGAGAAGACCCTTTAAGGAAACTGTCTGAGATGCTTTGCTTTCTTTAGGTCATGGTTCTTAATAAATAGTAGTTGATAAATATATATGCCCTTTGACCCAATCATTTCACATGTAGAAATCTATCCCATAAAATAATACTCATACAAATATGCAAAGATATATTACAAAATTGTTTATTGCAATACTTTTTTAAATATGAAAAATTGCAGAACATCCTAAATATCCATAAAAGGGAGATTGGTTACATAAATTATGCTATATTCCATGTATCAAATCCAATGCTACAATATACAATGTAGTTCTGTGCAGGCATTAAAAAGTATAAGCTATAGTTAATACTGTGCCTTTCAAAAAGTAAAGGCTTAAAAGATGTTTGTCGATGATAATACTCACTGCTGAAGCTGTTGCAATGAAAAAAGATTTAGCACATCTCTTTTGGAAAGCAATTTTTCACTAGGTATCATCAAGTCATAAAAACTTTTATACCTGTTGGCTTTATAATCTCAATTTGGGAGATTGATCCTAAAAGAAAAATTTCTAACAGGAAAGAGCGTTATGTGAATTAAGACTTTTATTGTAAAATTATTGATATAAAGTAACATAAATTATAAATGATATAAATTTTTGATATAATAGTTTCCTAAGGAGTTAGAAACTTTATGTGGGTTCGACGGAGAACAACTAAGTGCATCTACCCACAGGAATGCCAGGCCATGGTGAAAGTTGCAAAACCCAGGGATGAGGTAGTCTCTGTGTACAGACATGGAAGGATGTCCAATATGTATTACGGAGTAATTTAAAAAAGAAAGAAACCCAGTGGCCTCTCAGATTTCAGTGTGTTTCACGGGTGCACATGCCGTTGTGTGCAGCTACATGCCACAGTCTAGAATGATCTGTAGCCACGTTAGCAGCATTTGCCTCAGAGGGTGGAGAGGGGGACTATTGCTGAGTGCTTTCTCTTTTAATTCTTAAAGGTTCTGTATTGTTTGAGTTATTTTTCAATGAATATATGTTAGTAAACAAGTTTGTAAAATACTATTTGATAAGAGTACCAGAAAAAAAGCTTAAATATCATAATGTTTTAAGAAAATTGTTTTCTTTGTATTGGTGTTCAAAGAGTATCTGAAAAACGTCCTCCCTTCTGCCAGCTTGAGAAACTGTTTTAAGAGAGCCTTTTCACTGAAGTGACAGGATTTTTATGTAAGGTGTTGTCTGTCAGGTGGCAGCTGGGGCCTGGGCCCATGGCTGGTGGGTGCTGCCATGCTTGGGGCATCCCTTCTGAGGGACATGGCTCTGTGGGTTCTGAGGGAGCCCAGCCCAGGAATCATAATGTTCTAGGCGGAGAAGGTAGAAGTTTCTGTACACTGAAAGCCACACCAACTCCTTGAGGGCACAGAATTCTGGTCTCGAGGAAGCCTGGTTCAATCTTGGGGATCTTTGTTTATCATAATGATAGTTTCCACTTTGGGGCATGATGGAGTGCCAGGCCTGGGCTTGGCATCCCAGAAATAGTATCTGGAATCCTCACCAAATCCAGCTAAGGAGCTGGATGATGAGATGAGGCCTGCAGAGGTCACGAGTCTGCCGAGCATCACCAAGTGAGTGCTGGCCTCCAGCTGCTTGTGAGTCTTGGGAATCTTGACTTTGATACCACAGTGAGGTGATGTTTCCACTGGTTCAATGCCTACCAGCCAGAATGCGAGAGATAAGAACAGGCTAAGACACATCCAGATTTCGCTGAGTGTTCCTAACTTCAGTGCACACCTTGTGCTTGCCCATGAGTGAGCAGAAGAGACAATAGTTATGAGAAAATCAAGTACCTTTGCACCTTTTACGTGTGCACTGAAAGCATCTCGTCCCTGCTGAGCTGCATACTTGCTTTTTCTATGGTAACATTTATGGGGGATTTTCTCGCTATAAAAGCAATTCATGCTCATGGCAGACCATCCAGAATAGAAGCTCTACCAGACATTATGACCCCTGTTAAGAAGCTGTCGACTGTGCTTTATGCATACACACACATATATCGGACTACATATATAATTTGGTTTCCTGCTTATTTCAGTTATAAAAATAAGTATTTCCCATTTTACTTAAAGCCCTTAATAGATTAATTTTAATATCTGTGCGTTATATATCATATAGCTGTAGCATAGTTTTCTTAACCATTCTTCTCTATTATGTGATGTTTAAGATGCTACCAGATTTTCCCTGTTAGAAATAATGGGAGAAACATCCTTGTATATGAATCTGTGTTTGTAATTCTAAGGTTCTTTCTGATGACTTTCTCACAGTGGCTCAGCACTGGGTCTGTGGCTTTTTTGTTGTTGTTGTTGAGGAAAATTCACCCTGAGCTAACATCTGTTGCCAATCTTCCTCTATTTTGTGTGTGGGCTGCTGCCATAGCATGGCGGCCAACGAGTGGTGTAGGTCCATAACCGGGATCCGGGCCTGTGAACGCAGGGGACCAAAGTGGAAGGCACTGAATTTAACTACCATGCAACGGGGCTGGCCCCTGGGCCTGTGGCTTTTTATCTTCTCCCAATTTGTCCTCCAATCAAAGGAGGATTTCTTCCTGGGAGGATCCCCCATCATTACCTGATAACCATCTGAGATTCACAACCACTCTTTACTTTCTCCACAAAGCCCTGAGGCAGCAGCCTTTCAGCTGATAAACAAATATGAGTAATTCCCCTGCAGCGTGGTGAAGAGGTGCCACTTTCTGGCTCCTTGCAGTTTAGAACAGAGTAGTGAGCATTTCTGTGTAAGCCTGAAATTGGCCAGGGGACAGCCTATTACAACCAATCCTCCTGGACCCAGATTCCCCTCTACAAAGTGTGAGGGTCTAGTCACTTTCATGGCAAATCTGTCTTTTCTCTTCTCACCTCCCAGGTTTCGGGGCCTTGTCACAGATGCCAGATGATTTGCATCGACCAGCAAACCGGGCAACGAAATCAAGATGTTTTCCGAAAGCTTTCTGAGAGTCGAGAGAGAAAGGTATGCATGATTGCAAAATACAGCACACTGTTTTAATATCCTGGTGCATTATCTACACCAGAACTATATCCCTAATAGTGCTGAGTAATTTTTAGAATTAGGGGATAGTCTAAGGCTGATGGGCTACCATTAAGATTTCTACCTTGTCTGTGGCACCATCTTATTTTTCCTTTCCATCCATTTCCTCACTCTGTTTTTTTTTTACATGTATTTTTGCTCTCAAATCTTGATAAGGAGATATGGAGTGTAAATAAGAAATAAGTAAATAAGTAAAGTAATTCTGTTGTCTCAATCATTATGTTCTTTGCCACAGAGATCTCATGAATTGTAAAACGCCTTATGGTGAACAGAGTAGCTGCATAGAAAGATTCAGTCAATTTCACTATACTAAGCCTGTAAGTCATCTTGAGGATTAAAATGACTAAATGTTGTTGTTGTGGGTTCCAGATGATAAAAGCTGAACTTCTAACAGATTGATTCTTCAGGAAGATTTATTTCCAGACTCACACTTTCTGTTAGGACTTTTTGTTTGCAGAGAATTCTCAGAAGCCAAGTAAGCAGTCAGGCTGCATGGAGCAATTCTTGAAAATTAACTGATATAATGCAAATAATTAATCTCACTCCAGTAATAAGTTGGCAGGTTAACTCATGGTAAAATGTTCGTCACTATTTCCTGTGTTTCTCCAAAATCAGTGTTTTGTTTCACAGTATTTGAGTAACACAGTCTTCCTCCAGATCCGGGATAGATATGGTCAATAGAGGTGTTACACTTTTGTGTTTTACCAACGTGTCTGTCTGCTCAGCGGAAGCAGGCGTGTCAACTGGGAGTGTGGGGACTTGAGCCTGCCCCATGCAGGTTGGCAGGAGCGGGGATGCGTGGGCGCAAATACTATGGTGCATGGAAGTAGTATTTCTCAGCATCACTATAATCCTCGTGTGTACAAATCTTTTAAAAATATTTTTTAATTTTGTAATAATTTTAGATTTACAGATAAATGGCAAAGATAGTACAAGGAGTTCTTATGTACTCTTCACTCACATGTGCACAAATCTTAAGGAATTAATTTGGCCCTAGCCCCTAGCCTGGGGCCTGGAACATGGGGGCATCCAACTGATGTTATCACAGGAATGAACAGATCTGGGAGCATGTCACATACTCCAAAGAGTTCTTACTGGCTCACTTGCATTGATGGCAAACCTTGAGTAGACTTACACAACTCTTCATTTTGGACCTTCCATCTTTATTCTGGAGAATTTGGAGGGCTTAACCTATATCACACCTTCATAAGGAAAATGCAAGGTTTTGCTGTTATTTTCACAAAATGGCTTTTACATCAGGGAACAGAGCAGAAATTGGCCTGGCAGTGGTCAAAGGCCCAGAGCAGGAAGAGAACCTTCCTGTGGGAAGCTCAGGGTATACAAGAAGGAGAAGAAAGAATGGGTCCAGCAATAAAGAGGGGTGGGGTGACTGTCGGGAAAGGACACCTTAGAATGAGAATCTTTGTGTGTGAAATTAGGATTCTCCTTGTTTCCCGCTACATTCTACTAAGTGACAGATAGGACTTGTCAAATCCCAGTACATGTCTGTAAAGATCTGACTTCTTTTAGTTGAACCTTATTATTTACAAAATTATTTTAACTGCTGAAATAATCTAGCTCGTTGTTGTTGCTGTTGCTGTTTTGTTCACAGGTGAACTTTGGAGTGTACCTGATGCATACGGCTTTGGATTTATCGTCTCCATGTTTCCTGTCTGTAGGATCTCAGGTGCTCCCTGTGTTGAAAGAAAATGCAGAACGCCACCATTTACCTGCTTCTGAAAAACATCAGGATGTTATCGCCTAAATTTCTTTTCAGCGTAAATTAAAATTTCTCTTTTATAACTACTTATTGAAGTTGGCATGTGTGTGGTTCATTAGAACTTGGTCTTTTGAACAAGGAGAGTTTTTTTCCTCTTGGAGGTAGAGAGAGCTTTCGTCCACTTCCTTCCTCCTCTAACTCCTCACTGTCCGCGTGTGCACTGGCCCTGCTCAGGAGGGCAGTTCCAAGGCCTCTGTGCTTTACACGAGGCAAATTCAGCATGAGTGCTGCACCCATAACCAGCAAGGCTCCCATGTGTTTTTGAAGTATGGTAGTTTTAATTAGATGAGTTTTTTTGTTTGTTTGTTTTGTTTTTTTGGTGAGGAAGATTTGCCCTGAGCTACGATCTGTGCCAATCTTCCTCCATTTTGCGTGTGGCTCGCCACCACAGCATGGCTTGACGAGAGGTGTAGGTCCCGCACCTGGGATCCAAACCCACAAACCTGGGAACCCAGGCCGCTGAGGTGGAGCACGCCATACTCAACCACCACACCAAGGGGCCAGTGAGATTTTTAGTGGAGCTCACTGGGAATATTGAACCTCCTCTGTTGTCCCATTTTCCCACGATGTTACTTTAGAAAGAATCTTTAGACTCTCTTCAACCCCTTTGTATAGAAGAAGGTCTCCTGTGCCCAGTGGTCTTGAGGGAATTGGATGTGTCTCTCCCCTCACGTATGTGGAGGAGGTGGGTTTATGCTCAGGGTCCCATAGTGCGACTTGTGGCCACATTCCTTAGGGGAGGTTCGAGCAGGATGTTTATGTGTTGAGCAAAGGCACAGGCCAGCAACCCCTTCCTCTTGCTTCCTATCCCCGCCCACCTTCCTCTCCCCCTTTGAGTTGACTTCTGAGGATTGCTCATGAGCCTGAAGTTACACTCTGTGATGGTGGTGTTATGTGAGCAGTTGCGCTCTCCTTTATAAGCCCATTGGACAGTGTTGGCCCATCCACCCAAGAGCCTTCAAATCCCAGACAAGTGAGAAACATTTCAAGTCAGGAACTTTCTAGGTTGAGAGATCCCATCTACACTACCTCTGACCAGAGCTCCTGCAGCCTCCAGTTGAATATGTCCAATGACAGAAAGCTCACTCTCTAATGAAGTTACCTGTCCCATCGAGCTGCTCGAAAGTTCCTCCCTGTATTGAGCTGGTATCTGTCCCTGTGACTTCCAGCCGTGGGTCTTGCCCTGTCCTCTGGAGCAATGCAGAGCAGGCACTCCTGCATCCATTCTGCCTGAGTCCTTCTGAAGCATGGAGTCCACGCATGAACCCCAGGTCGCTGGCCAGGCCTGCAGCACCTTCCACCTGCATTGTGCATTTGTCCAATCACTTCTCTTCCCCAAACCCCTGCCCTCACTGCCCACAGCATCTTCCTAATGCCAATGTCACTGCTGCTCTCTGCTGCTCAATTGTTTAGCACATCAGATTCAGGCTTCTCTGCTGGATCTAGTCAGGGCCCTTGGGATTAGGAGTCGATTTGCTTTGTTATCTTATTTGTAGGACTTTGTGTCGCTCCCAGTGCCATGTGGGATTTGGAAGATGAGGCGTGCCTCTGTTCTCGAGCGTTGTTGAGAGGGAAGCTTTTGCTTGCGCTCCCATATGGTATGCAGAATTAAGTGTAAGAAGTGGCCTCTTGCTCAGTGGTTCCTGAGGTCAGTGAAAGAGGAGGCAAATAAGGTTACGTGGGGGGTTTATTATTTTTAACTGTTTCTTAAAAATTCAGCCTCTTCCAGGACCCAGCACTACTGCATCGTGTATATGGCCCAGTCCTTGTCAGCTGACCGACTGGAGAACAATGCACTCAGGTGCTGGCCCTCAGACAGGAGGAAACTGTTCCCAGAAGGCACACTGCAGCATTTTCCAAGAATTTGCATCTCATCCAATAGGATGGAAGCCAAGTAAGAAAACATGTTCTGAGGCCAGCCCGGTGGCGTAGCGGTTAAGCACGCAGTGCTCCGCTGCGGCGGCCCAGGGTTCGCAGTTTCGGATCCCGGGCACATACCGACGCACCACTTGTCAAGCCATGCTGTGGCAGCGTCCCATATAAAGTAGAGGAAGATGGGCATGGATGTTAGCCCAGGGCCAGTCTTCCTCAGCAAAAAAAAAAAAAAGGGAGGATCGGCATTGGATGTCAGCTCAGGGCTGATCTTCCTCACAAAAGAAACCAAAACAAAACATGTTCTACAAAAATTTGATCACCTCTCTCATCAACATATTTTCTGGTACAAAGAACAACTTATTTGTTCTTGTCCACGCCCATGTCACTTTTTGCGGTTGATACTTTTGGACTAATTTCATACATTTTAATGCAAATCATCTCCCTGACAGCATAGTTATTTAATTACTTATCATTATTGATTTAACATTGATCTGTCTCCACCAGACTATAAGCTCCATGAGGAGACGGCCTGAGCCTATTTGGCTCACCTGTGTATCCCCCGTGTTGGCAGATAAGAGGTGCTCAATAAAATTTGGTGATTGACTGGCTTTATTAAAGCTGGCCCTGTTTTTATAATTAATTGATTGATTTTAAATGTAAATTGTCGGTAGGGTCTGATATTGAAATTAGGTTGAGGTTTTAGCTAAAAATATATTTTGTATATTCTGCAGTGGTTTCATATTCAGACTTCTTGGGCATTTGTGATTCTGTGTCCCTTTCTTGGTTCCCACCTCCTGAAGTTCAGCCTTATGTGCTTCTAAAGGAATATGAAAATCAAGGGCAATGTCATGTCCCTTAAATTTATTTCTAACACCAAATCTCAGAAAGTCAAATTGTGTTTTTTTACATGTCCTGAGTATAGGCAACATCAACATGTCTTTCTGGGTTTTTCCTTCGTGGTCCTTGTAGCGGGGGAGAGGGTCTATTCTATGTGCTTTAGAGTGACTCCTTTGAGGGACATGGTGGTGCTGACTTCTTCCCATTGAGACTCAACCTTGTCCCCTCCTTAGCCCTGTGGGATGGGGAAGGGCAGGCAGTGATTCTTTCCTTCTGTTGAAAGATGTTCATTCATTTGCTTTCATTTAATTTGTGACAAATAGGTTGTAGGGCTACAGAAATGAAAGGAACAGACCATGCATTCAAGAATCTCACCATAGAGACAAGACCAAGAGAAGCCAGACCAGTAAATAGTCAGGTGTGATACGGAATGTTTCAAAAACATGCTACACTCTGATGCATGCATTTGTTGTTTGGGGTTTACCTAAAGTGTCTGGGCGGTGTCCTTTGGTGAGAAGATTCTACAGCGGTCAAAAGTACACTTGGATATTCTTGGACATTAGTCCCTGATGTTATGGTTTGACTTCTAGGCTGAGCTAGATGGCCTGCTTTCCAGGTCACACAGGCTCAAACTCATTTGGGACCTGGCCCTCCATACACATTCCATATTTGGTCTTATCTATGTGAAAATAGAATAGAGTGTTTATAACAGTATTTTTAATAACCAAAGTTTGAAAGGACCTAAATGTCCATTAACAGGAGAATGGATAAAAGGTGGTAGTGAAAATGAAGGGATTAGGACACAATGTTGAGAGAAAGAAATAATTTTCAGAATACATGCTATAAGATTGTAGTCTAAAAGATGAAAAAAATCAAGCAAAATACATTGCTTTAGGGATACATGCATATGTAGTAAAAGTATAAAGAAATAGATGGGGTGATAAATTACAAGTTTTGGGCGTGGGGAACTAGAAACAGGGAAGGTATGCACAGGCTTTGGCTTTATTGGGAATGTTTTATTCCTTAAGCTATAGGTTAGTAGGTACAGGGTGCTGGTTGTATTATTCTTTATATCTTTTCAAATAACTTAAATACTTAATAATAATTATTTTTAAAAGTTTTTGGAAAAATTCCTCTTAAGTTCACTTTCCCTTGCTCAAAGAACACAACACCGAATAAGTGAAGGTGTCCATCCTGCTGAGGTGCCATCCCTGTCCCTGCAACGAAGCCAAAGGCGGGCCCATGAGAGCAGGGGCCTGCACTTGGGCTCATGGATTTGCTATGTTGGTAGCAGATAGTGTTGTCTGGAACTTATGAATAGAAATTTTTAAAAAGATTTTATTTTATTGTAGTAAAAATACTTAATATGAAATCTACCCTCTTAACAAATTAAATGTACAATACATTATTGTTGACTGTAGGTACCATGTTGTATAGCAGATGTCTAGAGCTTATTCATCTTGATTAACTGAAAATTTATGCCCTTTGGTTAGTAACTACCCATTTTCCTCTTCCTCCAGCCCCTGGCAACCACCATTCTAGTCTTTGATTCTATGAATTCGACTATTTTAGAAACCTCATATAAGTGGAATATATGGTATTTGCCTTTCTGTGTCTGGCTTATTTCACCTGCCATAAATGTCCTCAGGATTCATCCATGTTGCAGAATTTCCTTCTTTTTTAAGGCTGAGCAGTATTCCATTGTATGTATATACCACATTTTCTTTATCCATTCATCTGTCAATGGACATTTAGGTTGTTTCCACATTTTGGCTATTGTGCATCGTGCTGCAATGCACATAGGAGTGCTAATATCTCTTTGAGATCCTGATTTTAATTCTTTTGGATAAATACCCAGAAGTGGGATTGCTGGATCATGTGGTAGTTCTATTTTTAATTTTTTGAGGAGCCTCCATACTGTTTTCCATAGCAGCTCCATCATTTTGCACTCCCACCAACAGTGCACAAGAGTTCAAGTTTCTCCACGTCCTCACCAACACTTGTTGTCTTTTGGTTTTTTGATGATAGCAGTGTGAGATGATATCTCATTGTGGTTTAATTTGCATTTCCTTGATGATTAGTGACATTGAGCATTTCTTCATAACCTGTTGGCCGTTTGTATGTCTTATTTGGAGAAATGTCTATTCCAGTACTTATCCCATTTTTTAATCTGGTTATTAGTTTTTTTTTTTTTTTTTTTGCTATTGAGTTGTAGGAGTTTCTTATATATTTTGGAGCTTAACCCATTATCAAATACATGGTTTGCAAATATTTTCTCCCATTCTGTGGGTTGCCTTTTCACTCTGCT